ACAATTGTTATTGTAGAGGAAACAACTTTTCTCGTATAAGCAGATTGGTGGAAAGCACACGCATAGGAGGGATGGTTTTCTGTGGTTGATGCGCTGATTTACTGAGTTTTCGGCACAGAGGTTGCAAAGATTGACACTGCCGTCTGCACAACTGTACTATTAAGAAGAAGTAAACCAGACACTACTTTTCTTTCCTTCCAAGAGCATCAGTATTTGCATGAAGTAAGGCTGTGGGGGAGAGTTTTTATCTTTTGTACTCTGCCAACTTTACTACTTGATTAAAGTACCTTTAGTCTGTTTCTGGTTTGTACCCTAAAGAACCTGGCGACTAGTCTTTCCCTCCCCCCTTAGGTTTAGAAATGAGCAGAGAAAGTAATCGTAACTGATCTAATTTGTGTCATTAAGCTTACTAAAGTGCCAAGTGGTAAAGTCGTAGCGTCGAGTTTTTGAGCTTTCATCAATAAACCCGGTGTGTAGGTGGCAATTAGACTCTTATGAAGACACAATATGATTTCTCTTAGTAAGTGTATGCTGGATGGGTCCACAAAACGGCCTCTGGTGTTAGCGAGGCTGCTAGACTTTAGGCGAATTTTCTTGCATTAAATAAATTTGCTACAAAGGAACATTTCCCTTCAGAATGGCGAATCGCGTAAGTTAATACTGGTAAAATCGTCGTTTTGAAATGTTATAAAAATTGCTTTTGAATTAGTTCAGATTAGGAAAACAGATGTTCTACATTTCCATGAAGTAGGAGCAATCAGTCTTCTGGTGTTCATTATCCTTATAGACTCCCGTTTAGCAAAAGGGCATCGTCCTCACGTGCTATATTGCACTAGTGCGGAGAAAGCAAAATGTACCTCAAAACTACGATTGGCAGGAAAATGTAAGCTGGGACGCCTAGACACTTTTATCTCTCCTTGTTCAGCATTCAACATCAAAGCATTTACATTCATTCTTCTAATCAAAGCCACATATCTCAATAGAGCTCCAATTTATGTTTACAAACTTTCATGAAAGTTACCAAAGGAGGCTTACTCGGCACTCACTCAACATGACATGCACACAAACTTGAGCCACCCAATTTGGATGCCACACCTAACGTGAGTTGGCAATGACTAATCAGTTAGTACCTTGTTGTCTTCGCCAGCAAAAAATATATAAAAATTGTTTTCGTCTATCATTTTCCTGTTTGTACTGATAATGCAGTTAGTAATAACATCAAATTTTATGGAAGTGCTGTGCTCTTGTTTATTATAATGGGACGTTTAAATACAAGAGTAGTTGCATTAGTTACTAAATAAAAATGACGTCTATGTGATAAACACAACGCCCAAAATCATTCTGTCATTCTTCAACAACTTTGACTAACCAGGCATTTAGGGTACGCAAATTATAAGATTTATGCATAAAAGCTCGTGATAATAAAATCTCAACAAGTACATCAATAAACATCAGCAAGTATTTTCCAGTCGGCGATAAACAGCAGTAATGTTCTCAGGAAGGTGTTTAATAGACGATCATGGTAGCAGGTTTGCATTAATCTACAGAAAGATTTTTTTACAAAATGGGTGCTGATCGCAAGCAGAATCCGTGGATGGGAAAACGGTGGATTTCGAAAACTAGCCAGCGCAAATTCGTCCTTGTATATTTTACTTATAAATATCAAGTAACAATAATATTCTTGATTTTTCTTTCGACAAAATAGTGACCACTGTAGGACGCAACAGTGGCAGAACCATTACCGCTGCGGAAAAGTGAAATATGTCTAAGGTGTACAGCACGACTACTTCTGGCATTGAGTTTGTGATTTAAAATATTTTTTGATCTACCATTCGGTTTACTATGCAGTCTACTCAATTTAGACAGTGCACTTCAGCTCGAAGTATAGAAAAGAATATTGTCTGCATTGATATCATGGAGAACTAGTAAACTCAAACGGGTACGAGTTGTTTTTTCCCTAATACGTTTGGGGTAAAGTGATGCAAAAGTTGCCACAAATATTTGCAATGACAAAGCTCACAGCCTTGAGCATGTGAATGTGATTCACGAAAGATTAATGTCCCGCACATTTAAACGTTTTTAAGGAGATGGTGGGATGCATTTCATTGCCTTGGTATTCGCCACGCTACTTTTGATGGGATGATTAGGAGGCAGCAACAGCTTGCTCGCCTGCCCTACACTTGTCATGCCAGCAGAAAAGTTGATAAGTCATGTTGAACCATCGAGTAGACGGACCGCTGCCAAGGTGTTTTTACTCACTCATTATAAAGTAAAGATGTTGTGAAGAGAATCCGATTTCTAGACATATTCGTATAAAGAATTAACTGTCAAAATGAGTTTGACAGTTTAAGGGTTTGTGAATAAATCGACATCCCACGCGCTGTAAGTCTGGTTTTCGTTGAGATGATGCATTCAGCAAAGGAATACTTAGACGGGATGAAAGCACTGCTCCTTAAGTTGGTCAGACACCATATAAATTGCGTCAGTATTTGCATCTCTCTATCAATTTCGACAACATTTTTAAATGCTGAATGCAAAATCGCGAATCAGCCTAAACAGAGTAGTGGCTTACCATGTTTTGTACAGTTTCTTACTTATAATGCCGTTCAGTGCTGGTGAAGTGGAAATCAGTTTCTCAGGCACCGTTTGCCCAGATCGGTACAAAGTCATCCAATGGTATTTGAATTGCCTTGAGTAAACATAAATTAAATCCAAAGTGTCCCTTAACTCTTCTTTCCTGTACGTAAGGCGCTTTGAATGTGACATCCAAGTTGTCAACCGTGTTCTCAATTTCCTTTAGTCTTTGGTACCCCAAGGCTAAATATATGCGAAATTTAAGTGTTCTTGTGCAAACCTGTTTGCGCAAAAATGCTTGCAGACCTCAAGTGAACGGATGAGTAGGTGGGTGAGTGGTAGTGCTCGGATGGATGTGATTGAGAGCACAATGTGCTGCACAAGTTAAATTTTATCACAGTTACAAAGTGGGGGGTTTCATAGACCTACAGCGATCGTCATCACCACTTTCAACGGCAATTTTAGAAGGACAAGCATGTATCTACTCATGCCATAATTATCAGCGTGACTTTTAGATCATCAGTGAGTCTTCTGTCAGTTGTCGCGCTAGAACTCACCTGCATTCCCCCATCACCCCTTCCCCCAAGCACTCTCGCATGCGGACTGTCACCAGTAGACGTCGATTCACTTCCCGTCTTCCTCTCCCCTGCGTCCACCTTCCTTCCACAAGGCTACCACTCTACCTGCGTGGGAATGCGCACTTGTCACTAGTGAACACGACGGACATTTGCGCGCCATGGCATATGGAGCAGTGCGTGCGACACCAACAGCAATACCAACGTCAGTGGCATATGGTGAACGATTGTGGTGACCGCGACTTGTCGCTGTGTGCGTGTGCCGGTTTCACGAATTGAGAATGGAAACCAGTCATTTCTAATCGAGAGCTTGTACTATTCGATTACCGCCCTTTTTAATTAGTCGTAAGAGAAATTTTACCCAAAATCCAAATCCGCAAAACTCCTCATTTCTTACTAGTCAGTGGTGGTTCGTGTTCAAAAGTAACCTTCTTTGGCACTCACCGAATTGCGCTATGCATAACGCATGATTTCTGCTATTTTACACTTATCATAAGACGCCTTTTCATCTAATGCATCCAAAGTAACGCCATGTGCTAAACATTGGATGAACTGGGCAACGAGTCAAGCTAGGTAGTATATCTTATGGAAGCAAACAACAATGCGAGGTTCGTCCTTAAGCTACTTATGTGGATTGGTACTTTAGGACAGCATTAACGGACCTGTAAAAACGGTAGCATGTTCGTTAAGACGCCTTAAATTAGCTTAAACCGCTACTCGTATAAGCAACAACTTAAACGCGGTAAGTCATTTTCGGCGATTTTGCTGTGAAATGACCCAGAAAATAATGGATAGGCTGGTAAGAATAATGGCGTTTAAAGGTTGTCTCTGTGGGCTTACGCACCCCGTCGGGGCTGAACAAAGGGGCACCCATTTTACTAGTTAAATGGTAGCATTTTAGGGACTGTCGAGAATTGATCAGTGACAGAGGCCGGGGAAGCTAACTATGGCGGTGGTTCGGTGAAGTGGACAGTGGGCAAGGACAGTGACAACTACGGCCATAAGGTGACTGCAACTTGCACACCAGGCGGCGCACCAGTCGGCAGCTGTTCAGGTAAGTCAACACGCTCGTACACACAGTAAGATTGGCGTCCAGTTCAATTAGCCCACACTCAGAAAAGGTTTTGCGCAGCCCTGTCCTGTTCTATCCTCCTCTCTCTCAACTCGCCGAAGAGGTCATAAATTATTGGGCTGTTGCGTCAACACACTCCAAATTCCAGCCACTGTAAGCTAACATAGGCAGTTGGTCTACTGCTGTCCATTTCTTTTATTGAGTTCAATTGACCTGACCAATTCGCTCAAATTGATGGAAGGGAAATTTTGAGTATGACTGCGGGCCAAACAAAACGTCTACCATGGCAGACTGAGAAGAGGCTGTGTCCGAAACGCAAAATCATGAAACCAAGAACCAACAACCGGCTCAAAATCCAAACCTGCAATTAGATAAATCAGTAGAAGTAGGCTAATCCCCATCTCAAGAATATAAAGTTGAACCTAAAAAGTAGTAAGAATGGGTAAAACTTGACTCCACGTGCATCTAAATGAATTCAAAGGCAGCTCGAGAGTACACATCAGTTGCTACACAAATTCAACATTTTTTTCCTAACAATGAAATCGCCTTTCCTTAAATGGAAATAACTGGAACATTTTGAAGTAGAATTTAGATCTCAATAAATTGACCACTGTGTAACGATTCATTGCAACTGCAGCTTTAAAGTGACAACAGCCTCGGGATCGAATACTAAAAAAGCTACCGAATAAAAAGCCACTGTTTTCAAGACCCAGATACAAAACAATAGGAGAGAGGGATAAAATAAGCTGATGCAAGAAAAACGTCGACACCATGGGGTCCTAGGCATGCTCAATAGCGGAAGTTGAAGGGGGGGTGGAGCCTTGAACCCCTGTGGGGGTGACGGGGGGGGCAGATGTAATCACGGTGGTGACCGGCTGGGCAAGGGCGCCTCGTGTCTTGGGCCGCTTGGGGTGTTGCGAGCGGCTCTTGGTCTTGCATAGGGGGCAAATGGGTGCATTACGATGAATGAGCTGTTTGCATGCCTGGCACGTCTTCATTGGCGGTTGCTGCTGCTGTTGCTGCTGCGGCTGAGACGGTGGTATGGGTGGCGGCGGTGGTGCAGGCAGGCCCGAGTAGGCGCTGGATTGGGGTACCGTGTTCATCCCGCTGCCCAGCATCACATCGCTCAGGCGTAGCGACTGTGTGGATGTACGCGTTTGACACTCCACTGACGTGGGGAAGGGAAGCAAATGATGGAACATGAGGTGCCTGCTATCATGAGATGACAATTTAGTTGAACAGGGTAAACATCTGAGTGAAAAACGCTTCAAAGGCGTGTCCATATAATTAACTATACCTCGGGTGATCCACAGAATACGGTGATGAGAGCACGCAGTTAGCATAAACCAAATATGAATTTTCCGATAAGAACTTGAATATGAAGTTATCAGGACATTCTTGCATCACTTCATATTTTGAAACAAATTGCTGGGATTTCCCGTATGTTCACACTCCTTTGTAATTCAGTTTTCCACGTTGTACCAACTTTCAATATCACCTAAAAATGTGATGTGATGCACTACCGCTCTAGTATCGTCACCACACACAGAGCTTCATCTCTTAGGGCTCTCTTAAACAGTCGATGAAGATGTAGGAGGCGCTGACCTAAAACACAGGCTTTCCAATTGTCTGAGAGTTTCCAATGCGTGGAATGCTCCATGGGAGCCGATGTTGTCGTACATTAACACAATCTCCTTATAAAATCGAATTCTTTCCAAGGAAGGTGGGCTTTAATCCTTTTTGAAGAATAACGTATTGCATTGCACATAATAGCAATAACTCCGCCATCGTGACAGATTTCGATTACAGTCCCTTAAAGTCCCAAGAAAAGCCTAGGATTGACATTCATGTCAACGAGTGCATTTTGAGTTCTATCACGAGGAGTCATGGATGCTTCCACTACACAATACCGTACACTTCCAGATCATAAATTGTAAACGCATACTTCACACACTTAATGCTAACTTCTTCGCGAGAGCGGGCCAAGTGCCGGAAACGAAAGTCTGAGAGCTCTCGCTTACACACAGGCAACTACTCGATACACCTTGACAATATCTGGTGCCGCGAATCAGACCCAATCCTATTCTTTAGCCCCTACAATTGTTCCATTTCCTTTTACACAAATAAGTCATATGGTTCTTCCAACATTTTTGGAGATCGTAGTCAAAGTGAGTCACCCGGATTCTGAGTTCTTTACAGACTATTTAATAAGATAAATTTGCCCCCAAGTGAATGCAACTTTTCACTATTGGGAATGTTATCTACCGTTTGTACAATCCCCGTATTGTAAAAAATAGGCTTACCGAACAGTAACAGACATACGACACACGTAGACAACTACTATTCATCACGCCATCGCAAACGTCATCGTAAATATAAAAAGTTCGAACACTTTGGGCGTCCTTTGCGTTTGGAAAATAGAGTTAGGCCCAATTTAATACACCACCCACCTTCAAGGGGGCACCGCAAAACAAGCAATGGCTCTAGCACAAGTTTCGATATGTATTCAAAGACTGGAGATTAAGTTAGCTAGTCTTCGGAGGCTGGGGTTTCCATGATTTCAGGAGGAATTGTGCTGAAGACATTGGATAAAAATATTCCAGCTGTGTAGGGAAACCTAGAACCAGAATCTGTTCACTCAAGTAAAATTAAAATCGGGGGGTTATATAAATAGAATATTTCAATTTAAAATGTGTTAATAGAGTATGTGAAAAGGTGAGCCCACTCCTTCTACCAAAAAACAGTAGCAGTGCCATGTGAACAGAAGACGTCCAGTCAAATTCAAAGAATTCGTGCGGTAAGTTGATTGCGTCATTTTTACAAAAGTACCCTCAAATCCACTACGTAAAACGGCCTCATTTAAAAGAAGGTGGAACGATGACTGCCTGAATCTAAACGGCATTTGAACATGTTCCAAAGATATAGAAATGAAAGACCGGTGATGGGGCTTCGTTTTGAACAAATAACTTTGGGAAACAAAGCTTGATTGCAGTTTCTAACAGTGATTTGAATGGTATTAAAACTGCAGTATGACTAAATGTTAAAAAATCAATTGAGGATGCTAAGTTGTTATTAGCATAGTGTCAAATACTGCTTAAGTAGGTATAAAAGGGCAAGGATGTGTAGAATGTGATACATTTAATCGTCCTGAACTAGGGACCAATGAACGTTGTAAATTGCTTATACGTAGGTTACTTGAGGATACGTCGCTTAGATCCCCGATCCCAGTAGCGAACTGCTTCGCCCAGCTGAGATCGCCATGGCGAAGTGAGGAGAGCCAAACTGAGATATGCTCCTGATTCAGAGCGGAGGAGACCGGTAAAGACTCTAGGCACCCTGAGACGGGCGGACCGTCTGGGGCATCAGAGGCGGAGATCTGCAATGGGGTAGTAGATGGAGGTTGAGTTAGGGCCACTGCCTCTGGACAGCGTTTGTCCGTCAGACTTAGGAGTCCCAAATTTGTCCGAATGCTGTTCACCTCCGCTAGCAGCTCGCTATAGTCATTGGAGAGCTTATGAGCCAACTTGAGGGTTTTCAATTTGTCAATTTTGGCCTCAAAAATCGTTTGCTCAATCTATTTCAAAGCATTAAAAAGGTTTCAGAAAATAGCTATGCATCCTTTACTTAAAAAGGACAATCATTTTTGACAAAATTCATTTAATTGATGAATATACTACATTCAATCTTCAGAACACGAATAAATGTGTTCAAATGGAGATATATCATTTTAAAATCAGTTTGTCACCCGAAACTAAAGTTGATATTACTTTGGCAAATATATCTCAAGACGTGTAAAAATTTGTTGATAACGTATGTTGAAGCAAAGAATGAAGGAAATAATAAGACAGCGGGAAAAGTACCTCAATTCAAGAACGCCACAAAAGTTATCAAATCAATTCTACATACTACAAACAGAAAAAGGTACTGAAAGCCAACTCCGGAAACGTGGCACAGAATAGTATACAAAAGGAAACAATGACTGATAATTAAAATAACTATGTAGAAATAACCTACAGCAGCAATGTCCTTCTCAACGAGCCTAAGTTGCTCCAAATGAAATGATTTTTCCTGCAACAACATTTTTAACTCAGCTTCATACTCATTTATGTAAAGCGACTCCCTGGCAAAAAAACCAACTGCATCAGCAAGTTTGCTTGATACATCAGAAAGCTCCTTTGACCTCTCCCTTAAAATCAAAGACCTAAAATTTTTACCCATGAATACCTTGTCTTTTTTATTACATCTAATTTAGAAAGCTCATTTTCGGTAACAGACATAGTCGGGAAAAGAGCCTATATCCAATACACGAGCCGATATAGGTCCCAGATAATAAAGTAAACCAGCAAACTAAAACGCATGCAGGTTCCACAGATTTTTTTTTATTGAACATTGCACAATTACGCAGTAGTAAAGCATTAAGAGCACAAATAAGTTGTTTTGGGATGCAGCTTTGTGCTGACATAGGACGAGTGAAAGGAAAGTTCAAAGCATCAAAATCCAACCTTCTCCACGAACTACCAAGCAGTTAATTTGTCTTTTTAACAAAGATAGTATTTAAAATAATGATCTGAAATTCGTTGCACCAAATGGGACGGTTGGTGGCAATGGAAAGTAGTTGGAGCATTAGACCTTACAAATGTATATGAAGTTTGCCGAAGCGATTCATTTTCTTGGAAATTTCTTGGCTGCAAGAAACTCGTAGAAATGCACGCTCCTCCTGAGAATGGATTTTTCCGATTATGGGTTATTCCCGCAGTCCATATATATTTTGGCCTGCATTTGTTACTGTGACATCCTTGTAATATGACTAGAAACGCATTGCTTGCGCGTATTTATGTTAGCGTGTTATTTACAAGCATTCCCATAGGTTTTTTTCCTTGAGTTATGTCCATTGATTCTCTTCTACTGGAACAATGGTTAATGTACATCATTTGTAAAACACTACTTCTAGTTGCCATATATCTGTTTACATGTCACTATTTGTTTTGTAGGTTTAATAAATTGTAGGACATTATGCTCTGCTAAATTAGCCTCTAAATTGCAGAATCACTAAGGTTTTTTAATTTACTGATTTCTCGTTATAATGGTCAAGGAGACACATCCATTAGCGTTTCGTGATCGGCTGACCCGTTTTTCGCTTCCTATTACATATGCTATATTGTTTACAAAGTTTTCACAACTTACTGCTTATATGAATGATTGCTCGCATATCTTGCCCCTTATTCCACGCATTGGCTTATTAATTTGATCACTTACTGCTGCCTCCGATACCCGTGCATTTAAGCCTAGAAAATTCGCGAAGGAACTGCAACTACTTGCGGGTCGCCACTGGGTTAAAATGTTTTGAATGTACAGATACTTCAGTCATGACCCAATGTTAGGCAAGATGGACTTGCGACCCTACGTAAATTGGATGCAACGTTTCACGATTTATGGGACGCAAGATGATATCTATGTTGTTGCGTCGGACGTACCGGAAAAACATTTTCGGGTTATGAAGATATCAAGAAGGCCAGCAGACATTCGTGACCCAGATTCAAAGCCTACATTATCTTCAGAGACGAATTACGACTTGAAATGGCGACTGGATATCCAAACTGACTCTCGAACTTACACACGGAAGGAACTGGCATGCTTTTTACGGTCTGTCAAAGCCATGAGTCTGGTAGGTCACATTTTTCCGTTATTTGGTCTTACAAAGACCACCACGCCTGTAACAGGTCACAGTTCGAACTCCAGCTCGAATCAAGTTGCCTCACTGCCCGAATACAACCCGACAGTGTCGGCTGCGTTACCTCACTCTGCTGGCAGCTGCCATCCTCTCACCAAATCCCTCACTGGAGTCGGTCTTGTCGGCTTCATTCGATTTTTGGCTGGCTATTACCTGATCGTTATAACTCAGCGGCGAGAAGTTGCACGAATCGGGGAACACAGAATTTACAAGGTTTTGCACTAATGTATCGATGAAGATTGCTACATTTGTACCGATGTATTAGTTTATAATAGCCCCCTTGTAAGTTATCCAATTTTAAAAGGCAGTGACAATACCCCTGCGTCGCCTCATTTTTTTTTCGGTGGGTGACTGATTCGATCGGATAAAAAAGAAACAAACCATCAAAAGCATAATTAAAACAAAAGGTGATTTTCTCAACTTATTACGTCAGGTTTAAATTTCCAGGTTTTGAATGGGATACTTCTTTCATATGGGCGACGATGTTTTTGCCTTTGTTTATTGATCTTCTAGGTCCACTACAATTGCTATATATCCGTTGCACACTTATAGGAAAATGTCACCAGTTGTTTGAAGCAGTTTCTATACAATATTTTTTTCGAATTTCAGATCGAGGAGACGAAAATGGTGTATATACCTGCAGGTATTTCGGTTTCATCGTCAGGAGAGGAAAAAAACAAAAACCTGCCAACTGTGAATCCTCCAGAGGAGTCGCGCTACCTTAAAATGTTCCAAGGTTTGGAATTGAACAGACACGTCTACTTCAGCTACACCTACGACCTGACTAGGTGTCTTCAGACCAATATGGAACCAGTGAGCAGCATGGTTGTACCTCACCTGCACCTTTCACCCATCCTCTTAATCTCGGGTGCTTCTTAAATCGTTTTTATTTTAAACGATTTATTCGTTTTTTTTTGCGTCAAGTTGGGAGTTGCAGGAGATATTCCTGACATGCCAGAGGGCATGACGGCTTTCCGAATGGTTCCGGATTCGCGATTCCTTTGGAATTCCTCTCTCCTGCCTCCTCGCTTTCAACCCAATTCCAGTGCCACCTCTGACTGGTTCGTGGGCTTAGTACATGGATTTGTTAAACAGGCCTCTCTCGTATCTTGTGGAATGCCCATATCTATCATCCTGGTGGCACGGCGGTCGCGTTTCTTTGCAGGAACTCGATTTCTCAAGAGGGGAATCAATATTGACGGGAATGTCGCTAATGAGGTACACTTCTGTAACAAGCTCGGACCAATCTCAAGAAGGAATTATTTTATCATGACCTATAATTTTTATCAAGAACTTTTAAAAAGAATGATATTCAATAAGATAAATAATAACGCAAATGTTTAGCTTTGAAATTCTTTGAAATTAGGCCAATTTGGTGTCGATCAGCATCTTTCTCCCATGTCAAACTACTTCCATAACTAAAATCGTAAACAAGGTAATCTTTTTATTTGACTATCTTTGTGCAGACATTTCTGAGATTGGTTTTCACAAAATGTATTTGCTGATATAGTCAAAATGCCTTTCAATTCTGCCGATAGTTCTGCTCGTTTCATTTGGTACGATTACCATCGTTATATGGAGCTTCGTCGAAATCCAATAAATCTCTCTGATGGTAGTGACTTCATATATATTGTTTCTATTTCCCCTTCACTCGTTCCGATGATTAGGGCTCAAACTCACTTAATGTTTTCCCGTAAATTAGGAAGACACTTATCATTTAATCCACTGGGCAATTTCCGAATGCAGAAGTCGTATTAAACCACTTATCACCGTTTTTGGATTTTAAACCCTTTTTCTGCTTTGCTTATTCATACCCTTCCTTAAGTGTACTCTAAGTATAATTATAAATCCGTTTTTGTGTTCAGAATTGTTATAGTGCGAGAAATTGATGTTTTTCGAATGGCAATTGTTCAACGGCTTTTTAGTTACGATTGGTATGAAACTTAGGAAGTTTATCATGGAAGCTGTGTTCTAGCACCGTGTTGGCGGAAAGAAATCTCTATCCTGCGCCAATTTACTTGCGCTGTGCTTCAAGGTAGTTGAATCTCCACCCGTCTAGTAATAGCTAGATGAGAGGCAATACTTACAGTAAAAAGTTCCTATTCAATCTATGGGGCATGCCCCAGGTTCTCACCTATTTCCACTTTTACTGGCACAGGTGGAGACGGAGCAGATGGTGCTCGATACGGCGGAGCCCACGCTGTCGCGAATGCGCGTCTCCTCGCTGGTGCAGCACCGTGGCTCCGTGCCCCTCTTCTGGTCGCAGGACACCGCTCGGTTGGTGGTCGGGAAACCGCCCCTAGCCATCACGGTGAGTCGCCTTTCCGTTGCCTTCAAGAAAGCCTCTTAGGAGCGGTCTTTTATGTGTTCCTTTGTGTCATGCACAGTCATAAGCATCGGTTCAGTATTTATTGTTTAGCAGCGCTCTGGGGTTGGAAATAACGAAATAAGCGGCAAGTGTGAGTGTTTGGGAAAGCAATATTCTCCTATAAGCGGACCGATGCGGCGTATCAGAATCAAACCATCGCCTAACATGAAACAATAGTTCGGATCTTGTATAATTGCAGTCATTCTAATGCTATCCAAGTAATGTAGAATGTTTAATGTTTCAGTGGGAGGACCCCTCCTATGAGGCCTTTGGCAAACACTTTGCTGATCTCATTGAAAGACATGGCGCCCCCGTGATAGTCTTGAATCTGATGAAGCAAAGGGAAAAGCGCCGCTTCGAACAACAGCTGACGGATGGATTGCTCGGGGGGATACAGTACTTGAACCAGGTTTGAGATTTAAACCTTGTTTTACAGCGTTTTTGCCTATGTTGTTGACTGAATTAACTCAGATTCTTTTTCCAACTGGACTTTATTCAGGCTTCCAGCAGTTACCACTATTTTCTTTATTGGCACCCACTTTCGATGCGCATTTGCCAGTAATACTCCGCGTATGCTCCAAAAATGATGATGTTAGTATGCTTCCTCTTGCTCATGGCAGAGCTGTAAATATGATTGTCATCAGGGCTGAATTGCTGCGACAAAAACTTTATTAAGTGGCATTGTATTTGATAAATGGGTTTTCGGGAGCGACTGAGAACATGTTGAATATGCATCGTGATCACTAACTAATTGTTATCCTACAATCACTATAAAATCCGTCTAGTAAGCTTAACCAACGTTTGGATCTTTTTCATGGCAAGTGAATAGGTGCTATGTGTAAGTGCTTTCGTAGACTGCCACTACACTCTACTTAAACATGCTACATTTCCTCACCAGTATTTTGCTATGCTGCCTGATCAATTTTTTCTACACCTGTATTTTCATAATAAAAAGGAGCAGGAGAGTTCTTTAGTAAGTCGATAACATGAAAGTAGATGTCCCACGTTTGCAGTTTGTACCGAAACTTCGTTCGCCAGAGAATTGGGGCGAGACGATACCGCCAATTACCTACGTCAGCTTTGATATGGCGCGCATCAAGCGATCGCAAAAAATTCTCTCCTTGGACCGACTGAAGGTCATTGCAGAGGAATGTGTGCGTCGGACAGGCCTCTTCTTCTCCGCCGGCCGTCCTACCACCAGCACCTCCCTTGAGGAGTACATCCAGCGTGCCAGGCTCCACATGGGCTCCAACTTGTGGTGAGTTGCGCTGTCGTGTCACATCCCATACATCAACCTTATTGCTCGACGCTGGGCATCCAGTAATTCGGTTGGACGCCCAGACCAAGGGGGTTTATGTCTCTGAGATTATTTGATTGAGATGTGCAATTCAAAATCGGAAGCGTACATCCAGAACCAAATTTTTTGATTCGATATGAAAAACAATAAAAGGTGCATGGAAAAAGGCAATAGTTTATCAAGTCTGCTTCCAAATCACAGCTTATGATTACAAAGAAAGCTTTACTGTGAATTGCACTTTTTCTCCTTGGATTGCTTCTACTAGATTCATGAGAGTTTTATATTTAGAGAGCTTTTTGATTTATTTGCTTCCACTTTTGGCCTCCAAGATAAGCAAAAGTAGGTGCTGTGTCTGTTCCAGGCTTCGCACGTCCCCTTTTTTCGGTGATGTCTCTGCAGACATGCGGGTTCTCCAACGCGCATTTCAGTGGGATTCTTTGTGACGAATACATGAGCATGTTTTGGGACGTTTATCATTCTGAACCAATATCTTAGGCCTTGGTACTGATCACATATTTGGATCAATTTACCCCTTAACCATTGTCCCGGTGTGGTCGCAAAAGACCGTTCGCTTCATGGGCTAATCGCCTTTTTGCCTCCACTCTTAGCCCCCGACAGCAAGGACTAGTGCGCACCAACTGTGTCGATTGCCTGGACCGCACGAATACCGCTCAGTTTGTGATTGGCCACGTCGCGGCGGGGTATCAGTTGCGAGCCTTGGGACTGTTGGCACGGTCCCAGCTCTCCTTTGACTCCATCATTTCCAGGTTACTTCGAGTGAGTTACGCACCTACTCTTGTTCATCTTATACCAGATAAAAACACCGATAACAGAACCAGTGCCACTGATGTTTCAAAGGATCTCTATGAGGAGCACGGTGATGCCTTGGCTCTACAATATGGTGGCAGTGGAGTGGTGCACAACATCGAAACCTACCAAAATCCCTACACATCTCGTGTCACTTCTCGGGACATCGTGCAAACAATCTCTCGGTTAGTGATCGGTAAAACCCGTATAGACGATCAAGATTTTAACAACCTTGTCGCGATTGCACATTGATTCAGCGATCTTACTACTCTGTTTTTCGTGCTCCTTGGAGATACTATTTCGTATGTTTGCTTTTGTTTCAACAGTTACTACTCGAACAACTTCGTAGATTTCGAGAAGCAACTGGCAACAGATCTCTTCCTGCGCATTTTTCGGCCGGGTGCGGGGCCTTTGGTACTGCCACCGGCAGGCGAGTGGCGCCGACCGGAGGACGCAGTGGCGGTGGCTGCGGCGATGTCAGTGCGCTCGGGCCAGGCCTTCCTCTTCTCCTCCGACCCAGCTTTTGAGGCCTACATCCACTGGCTGCAAGCGTGGGCCACTTTGCCTCCCTATCGCACCTCCCTCACTACCTGGTTCCCCCGATCCACTTTCCTCGCCAGGCAACGCGCTCTCAGAGGATGGGGTACCTGGACCATGGCCAGCGACAGTGTTACAGCCAACGACGAGAGGAGCACTTCCTTCTCTTTCCTTCCGGATACACAGAAATCTTTTCAGTTCCTCCAACTGACAGAACATGATCCAGGGTAAACAAATAATGGCATCCCTTCTCTTTTCCTTCCTTTGCATTGAGTTATAGAATAAGTCCAATAATCTGATATCTATTGGAATTATCTGGAGACTTCTATACTATTCGACGATTAGTGGTTACATACCAATCTGATCCATGAGTAATAGGTGAACCTTGGCCTCATTTTTACTACTTCATAATCTGTGATTTTGCGTAATCGGACATTAGCTTAAGATTTTTTAGAGAAATATAATACAGAATGGATAAACATCTATATCGCTTTTGGGGAAAACTTGGGGTAGTTTTTCTTCGCTCAGTACACCTCACTTTCAAAGCGCGTTTACGATCACGTGAGCCGTGATGTGAGTAATAGGAAACATCCAGCCCATTTGCAATTAAATGGATTTGGCCTGCAGATGACAATGGGGTTTCGATTTTTATGGCCTTGTGTAGAGGTGACTGGTTTTCGGAACTCTACCGACCCTATGACTGGACCCACTTCTACGACTTGACGTGCCACCAGCTGCCGCTGGCGACTAATGAGAGCGGCTTCATACAAGAGAGACCGTCCTTGAATCCCCCTCACATTGGCCTAGTGGCCTCAGCTTGCCTGACGGATGTGGTGCAGTCATGTGAGAATAATTTGCTCTCTGAAGTAGCCGCAATAGAAGAGGGGGAGGCGAGAGACCCGGAAGGTGGCAACCAGAATACTCCGTACAACCCAGTGGCCACAAACACCCAAGCGCCCCCGACTGTGGCAGCACATACCCCTTCCTCATTATCCGTTAGCAACAACGGGGAGGATATGAACACTTCGGACAGGTAACTTACTATCCGTTCCGTCAGTTTGCCCATATTATTGTCACCAGTGTAATTTCACGGGTGTTCTTCAATGGTATTTAAGCTAGTGTAGTCTCCTTGCAAAGATGCGCAGAGGTTCGACTTGAAGGATTTGGTATTTCGACTTCCGTAATTCACATTGAGTAGGTTTTATGTACCAATAATGAGGTGAGAATTGGGTTTGTCATGCAGAGGCTCTTCATATTCATTACCTGTAGCGCGAGTTAATGCTAATGCTCAAGCGTTGTGTCGCTCTATTCAAGTACTTCACAGGACTCAGATACCTCGGCGGTGTCAAAGTGCCTTTTGCAGCGTGGGACAACGCGTGCTGGCGGCAAGTGCAGACGTCAGCCATCTTTCCCACCTACTGAGACTTCCACGCCGGCACTGGCAGGTGGTGGTTCTCTGCCTCTTCTGACTAAGTTCACACGTGTCCGGTTGAGCGAGTTGACCAGTTGGATGCAACGGGGCGGTACCACAACCACAGAGGGATCAGAAAGGCCCACTGAGCGGGAGGAGAGTAGAGACGGGAAGGGTCCAAGGGATCGAAAAGGCTCGTGGTTCAATGCGCCTAGGAGATTTGGTCTCGGCTCTAATTCCAGTTCCATAAAACTGAGGAAACCATCCAGTGAGGATATGGGAAAGTATCGAAGTGAGCTCCTTTACGCGCAATTCAGTACTTTTGATTTGTGTACTTCGTACTCTGGGGACAGAAAGAACTATTAGAGGCATTTCGTTACAGTAACCAATTGAAATGACGCATAAGTCAGTTTGAATGTTTACCAGATTTTTTTGCATCCCGAAAGCCATTATCTAACCTTGAAACTTTGTACATTTGATAACGTGACGATGGTTTAAAAGCATTTTTCGAATAAATCCGAGCGGTATTTTTTACCTTAATGGGTATGCACCGCTTATGTTGTCATGTGGTATGCTTTTTCAGAATATGCGTCAATCCCACTAGCGAGCGTGGACATCTCCCTCTCCGACATCTTGATAGTGAGCCCAACTTCCATGGCAATTTATCGGGTACTTTTCTTTTGTCCAAAGTCCTATATGCTAACGTGATTATGCAATAAGAGGTCAATCACTAGGCGATAAGTCTGTGCTCCTAGAATTCCTGCACCCTAATCTTCGTGTCATTTTTGAGAATTTTTCTGTTTTCGATACATTTTTTCGAGTGATAACCCAGTTTATTTACTATTTAATCCGAATTACTAAGACAATATGTCACTGCGAGCGTTTTACGCGAGACTTGGCAGTGCTTTTTTGTGTTTTGGATGCCATTTCAGTTCCTCATCATCAAATATTTTAAAGTGAATGCTGCCTAGTAAGTGGTGATATTCTAGCCAATTTACGTGTTTTTTTCTAATTTTAGAATGCACTTAAGCTATCTCAAACAGGGACATGCTCGACTGCCAATGAATCACTTTCGATGTACCAAAGATTTATGAATGTGTAAGACCTAGTCCTGTAGCATTCTGCATTTTTCGATACAAACGCTAAGGCATCAGGGTTGCGTGAATCAATGTCTTGAAAGTGCGGATCGAGTTGAGTGAGACGCGTTATCTTGTCAGGTTTCTTAATGTCAGCAGCGGGTAATTTGTCGAAGCATTCGGTCGTCTAAGCGTAGTTCTGTTGACGGCACCAATGGCGTATCCGCTACTGACCCAACATCTCGATTGTCCAGATTTGTGTTCAACCGGACAAGGGGTGAATCCGTTGGCCTGACCGGTCTCTTGGTCCTGGCGCGTTCCAGGCAGCTTTTGGTAGCTGGTGGGGGGGGGGGGAAGCCATCTGCGCTTGGTAAAGGTGGAGAACGAGGAATCAAGGTTGCGTGATATTTGGTGGTGGTCTTGAACAAATGCTTTATTCGGGTGGCAGAGGCGGGTTGACTTGGTGAGGCGTGGAAGCTGCAAGCGTCTCGAATGAAACCTCTTTACATTTAGTGCCAGGCCACCAGGACAAATTTTAAACTAGAAACTCATGCAACTGCGGATTTTCTGGCATCAAGAAAAGCACTTTCCATGTTATTAGTTTATTTCATTTCTTACTATGTCGTTCAGATATTCTGGGCAAATTGCACATCTTTTTGTTAACTAATGCCAAATTAAATGATTCTGCTTAATTTATAGCCTAAAATGCCTTTGTTTAAGGAGAAAAATATTATAAAGTCATAAGTATGGTTTCAAGCTTGTATATAATGCCGATGATGGGCCCGGCCTAACACACCAAGTAGCCCCTACGGTCAAGGCGCGCCATGTCGGACGGTGACTTGTTCGCTTCTCCGTTCCTCAACATCGATCCTTCGCTTTTAGTGAATGTTAGTTTGTTATTTTAGTGCATTTCTTCTAGGATCCGTCCGATCAGTTTATCTTCCCAGAAGGAGACAGACACCGAGGTCGTTTCGAGAGATCCTTTTCTGAGATAGGCTCAATGGTTATTGGCGGTATGTGGAACTATCGGCCAAGAAATATTTTGTAGGTTGTGTTTTTGGAGGAACACGGGCTTTATATTCGGCTCTAAAGGATCCGGAGCTTATAAAATTGCCTACAAAAGCCTTACAGCGAACGCAGATCCTAAATCACGTTACCAAGTCTGGCGCCTCGTGGGCACAAACGGCTGGGAGCATCGGTCTTATCTACGCCATCTCTGACTTTGTTATCCACAAACTCCGCGGTGGGGCTGACGATGAAATCAATATGGTCTCTTCCGCGACAGCTACCGGTCTCCTTTACCGTTCACCTGGTAGATTTTGTGTCATTTATATCACTACTTGCAGACAATTATTTTTTTATGGATTTAACTATCTTCAAATGTACAGCTGTTGTGATAGATGAAATAGCTTATCTATGACACCCCACATGCCTTTGTAAAGTTGAGCCATATTCTACCTAACTTATTTTTACTGGACATCTTTTTAGGATTGTTTGCTCCCGGCGGTTGGCAACGATGCCTTCGTGGTGGAGCTTTCGGTTTGACGATTGGACTTGCGGGAGCCGCCTTCACCAGTTGGGATCGCATTAAAGAACTGCTTGGTGCCTAACCTCTGCTGATCTAGATTGTACAGGAATCGTCTAGCGACGTCTTTCATACGTCATTTTGTAAATTGCTGACAATTTTAATAAACTCGGCAGTAATTCGCCGTTATTTCAAGGCACTCCTTTTGACGTTGAAAACTCAGCTCAGAGTGGAATGGAGGTACTTTCTGTTGGGCGATGGTGCTCCATCCCACTAGTATGAAAGGTGGGCCATTAGGCTACCATTTGCAGATAGAGTTGTTTTCATCCATCCTGAAGCAGCGCGAGGCTCCCTCTGTGGCTTTGATGACGTCCAGGGAGGGGATGCAATGAGGTTTTCGAAAATCTAAGCTGATCCAGAATACTACTTCAAATGTCAGCCAACACCACTAGCCTCGTTGAAGAAAGGTACGACCGGAGTAGCGGGCGTTGAGCGAGTGGTGGCGTTGTCAGTGATTCTGGGCGATCGGTGAACGATTTAGGATGGGAAAAGGAGGGACGGGCGGGTCTCTAGATGCACATCTGTCGCCCTTGGCAAATTTGTTACGGTCTAAAAGTTGACCTCTAACCCTCAGATAGCGTAATACTGCAAAACACCTGATAGAGGATGTCGTCTGGGCGTGCTGTGTGGATAGTTCATGTTGTCAATGGGTTTCCATTGTTGCCTCCTCTCAAGAGGCGAATCGTAGAGTACAGAAATTTAGCTATAAGAAAACAGACGGAACGAACGAGTAGCCTGTCAATATTCGATTGAAGTACTACGGTAAACAGTGGCAGAGGAGGTTTCAAATACCAGAATTTGATCTTTGTCCAAAAGATAAATGTGGATGGGAAAGGAGAAGAAGGACTTCAAATTCAGAGTAATGAATGCATTTGATTAAACGACAGATCCCACAGAACGACTTTCATTAACATGGAAAATCCATGAACTGCCACGTCCTCCATTTTTAAGTAACTGAGTAGGGGAGGTAATTTTAGCGGCTGTCTCTAAACGCTCTTAAGTAACATATGTAAAAACGAATTCGCGTTGCATGTGATCGAGTAAACACTAAACGCCCAGTCATTAATCACCGAAAATACTAAATTTAACGCATCAAAGCTGGCAAGTGATGTCGACGATTTTAATTGGTGAATGCTCTGAATAGAAGGGAAACAGTCGCAAATAGATGAGTGATAAAGAAAGATGTCAATCAGGGTTACGAAACGATTCAGGAGAAAACTTGATAGCATTAGAAAAATGCCGACCAGGAACCGAAAAGTCTTCAAAGTCTCTTCTAAATGGAGTAAAAAAAAAAAACAGGATTCGGGTTTATTAAACTGGAAACCTAAAAGGGGCTGCTATTGCGAAAGACTAACTTGGCAACGGGCGCCGTATTTGCGTTGATTTTAAGTATAATAACTGAAGAAAAGCAAAAAAAATAACAAATTACTCATCAAACTGGATATGCGCAAATATTTTAAAAATCACATCGAGGACAAGTATTAGGACCAACAGTATGCTGATATTTACCCATCGAAATGGGATACAAATTAATAGTTCTATCTAACACCGTAGTCCTCCTACACCCATCTGAAGACGAAACAAGACATGATATTCAGGGAAATGCAATGGCGGAGCCTTTAAGTGGCCTAACACTAAAATCGGGAGTTAAACAAACAACTAACGTATTAAAATAATTTGAGTACTTAATTAACTTCACTTTGGTTTCACGGAGACTTGAGGATCCACTTTCCTACTCCCTTCCCCCAGCGTTGCTGCATGTCGACAATGCATTTTTTGCTGTAATATAATGGCTTCCTTTGAGTTCAGGAAAGACTCAGGACGCTACACTTAATCCCAGAGAAATCTATTCCCTAATTCCAATCGTGTTCTCCCTTGGTCCTACTTAAGTGGTTCATTCCTAGCGGTGATCCACGCCTGCTGTACTGGTGACTGCTCGACGGCTATGGCTAATCACTTGCTGTAAAAATGCGCAACTGAAATCGGGAGGTTTCTGCCCTGTATTCACCAGAGGTGTACACACTGACCGTGACCCTTTTCCGTACTTATTACGTGGGAAGTCAGCCAAGACTTCTGCCCTGGCGACTTATTATATCGTTTATCTGGTTAGAGACCTCGGCCGCATCTAGAAGACGTGGGCACACAACACCAAGTTATAAAAGTTGAAAACCCTGGTTGCAACGGTTGTCAATACGCTTTTACAACTGCTGGGAACCCAATTTGCAACATTCATATCTAATATCCTTCTCAAATATTTCACATTCGCCTAATTACAAATCCACTGCACCCATATCTAATACAACTGCCCAAACTTTGAAACGAGTACAATAGGGTCACATTTCAGATTGAATGAAATCATGGTTTAAGGTAGTATTCGAAGTCAAATGGTTGCAGTTTTTACGATAGTGGACTCTGGTGGAGCAGATGAGCACTTTACGAACCCCTAATCATCCACAGGTACTCATTCAGAGACGAGTCATCTGTCTCGCCTTAGTCGACTTTCTATCAGACGGTTCAAGCACAAAGCGATGCAACCTAATAGGACTCAGCTGACACCTTATGCACATTTGAATAGTCCTATTTCCAGGATGGCGAAGGTATTAGCGCACTCAGCCGTCCTAGAACTATGTGATGACTTCACACACACTTACTATTGAGTCACGATGAATTAAAAACGCAATTCATTTTACGAGCCTGTCTATCAAGTGCAAGTGATTTAGAGCCTTGAACTAGCCCCACTTTGTCCAAAGCGATCTAATTAACTTCCAACCTTTCCCAATGCGTAAATCGGAAGTGAGAAAACATTTCATATACTTTACCTAAGTGTACATTAAAATGTCGAATTAATTAACTCAAGCATAAAGTGCACGTAACGGTATAAACAATAGTATTTGTTGTTTGGCGATCGATAGCAATGGACCTCACACGGAGTCCAGGAAATTTTAAAGGTACCTGCATAAAGCTGTAGCACTTCAATGCTGGGGTATGACACCGTCAGTTTTGTGTTAGTCTGGGTGTTCAATGCGGACTTGACGAGCCTTATCGTGAGCATAGACTCGAGTATATCCAGCGATGGCTGTCGACAGTGCCAGTGAGTACACTACGGAGACCATGACCATTGTCGCCATAAAGCGCTGAAACAAAATTAATAAACCACTCAATCGTCCACCACAGCTCAAAAACAGACAAATTTCTAACTCGTTCCCAGAGTGTCCAAAAAGACCATTACATTTAAACTCCGTTCTCTGTATAAGTAACACTATATGAATTATGCATAGAGGTGATATTGTCATCCGTTCCCCCATACATAAAAAGAGCTGCAAAGGGCGGACAGGAGCATCGTACCACCGGTGGCAGACGAAAGGGAATATTAGCACCAAAAGAGATCGGTGACAAAGTGAATGGTAATTCGGTTAGTAGTCAGGGTAGTTTTCCCCTCTAAATGTCGTCATAACAACCGCTGATTCACAAAGTTACAAATATGAGTGCAAGGAAAGCACAAAAGTGTTTCAAACCAGCTCCTGATGAATGTAAATTAGACTACCCACCTAAGAGTGCGGTGACGTGACCAAACATGCGCCACCACAGCCGAATTTCTGTAGATAAATGAATCATTATATGTCGACTAAATGCTTTCCGACTACGATGCACGAAGAATGTGTGTGGCTGGCACATCTAAACTCGTGTGATCGATAAAAGGAAAATATCCCAAAATCATGAAATAGATTGCATAAATAGTACGATATTTGAACGAAGCGAAATTACGAAAATTAAGATTTTGCATTTATTAGGTGTCCCATAAAAGCACGAATGTCATTAGCAGGAGGAATAAAATGTACGAAATACCAAATGGTTTAGCAAACATTCAACACCATTTAACTCGAAGGACTAGTGAATAATAGAACGACGCTAGAAGTGACAAATTCACGGACATCACACTGGAATCACAAACACTGCGTGGGATAAAATGTACCCAATTTGGGACTGGCCGTGAACTAAAAATTAAGAATCGTTCTCTTACGATTTTCCATAACAGGAAGCCAATGTGAAATAGGAGAGAATAGCAATGAAATCAAAACGGTTTAGTTGAGTGCATTTGGCTTCTCTACCTCGAGATGTCATGCGATTCGAGAGCTAACCAAACTCCGGTGAGGGACAAAGGCGAGGGCATTGAGAAATACAGAATTGACAACCTGGTGATACAAAATGGCGCCTCCAACGGCGAAGAGTAGGGCCGCGAAAAAGCACCTCACAACGCCAAGCAGCTGCTCGCCCGTCTGTGCCACGCTGCGCGGCACCAATGTCATAGAGTCACAATACTTAGTGAAGAGAAGGCCGCCAAGAAGAGCGTGCGCCGCCTTTAACAGGCCCTGCGTCACACATAGGACGAAAAGGCAAAAGCCGAAGAGGCTGTTTGCCGTTCCGGCAGTTCTGCTGCCAATCCAATAGAGGATGGCAGGCATGAAGAAGGAGAGGGCGGAGACTACTATCAACGCGCCGATCAAGCTAGGATTAGACCACCTCATAATTCGGTCTCCGAGATTCGTGTACTCGAGAATGATGGTGCGGGAAAGCAGCTCCGAGGCGAAGAGGGTCCCATAGACAAGGATGAAGTCTGGGAAGGGGAAGAAATCAGGAAAAGGGGTGAAAAGGTTTCTTCGTAAGTAGATCACAAAGTAGGGAAGGAGAAGGTAGTCAAAGAGGATGGTTCCTGTGGTGAGGAGTCCCGAGAAAAGGATCATGATCAGCTGTCCGGGGGGGTACTGATGATGTTTGAGGGAAGCAAAGACGGTGCTTATGATGTACTTGTTCCGGATCGTCAAAGCTTGAGAGACCATTCCATTGCGGCCCCCAACCTGCAAAGGCAGGAAGCTCCAGTTAAGATGATAATATTGACACGTCCTAAAAAAAGACCTAAACTATGAAAATAAAAGCGCAGCTGTAATGTTACAGCAAGGTTCAAAGAATATCAGATAAAATACTACAGCAGCCTAATAATCGTACCGTTTAGCTCCATAGCATGGATCTTAGTAGAACTCTGAGAAGCAATGCGGTTTTGGCATTCATAAACCAATAATAGCGAGGTAAATGGTTGAAGAAGCGTAGAAGCACATAATGGATAAGTTGCGTAAAAAATAATAAAAACTGCGAAAGCATATAAAAGTAAAACAGGTGTGAGGATTTGCATACAAATAATGAAAATTGAGAACCGTATAGTTATGGGCCATGTAGGTAATTAAGGCAGTCGCGAATTGCCATGGCCTAAATTGTAATTCCAATTAGAAAAAAAGCACCACTGGGAAAACGCAAACCATATTTTGCATAGGAAAAAGGTCAGTGAAATGTATCTTACGTTGTCTGTCTGATTCACTTAAGGAAACGCAGAAAAGAGACATCGACACTAGTGCTGAAACCCTGGTACACGTGCATACATCAAATTATGGACGAAACAGGCAATCAGCTGCCTTTCAGCAATGAAATAAACCTACATCTCCAGCTGCGCAATTACCCCCACCGTTTGACGAGGCAGGGCATGTTCGAGAACTGGATAAACATTGTTCACTCCCTTCACATTCAGCCGGCATATTCAGCAGGCTCCTCACCGCGATATGCAAGCTTGGAACGGAAATAAGCGACAGGCACGTTGAAAGCCCAGAAAGAATCAACAACGAGTAAAACTCGGTCATTTCTGGACCCACAAATCGAAGGCAAACATCAAGAATGAGGCATATCACAATAGCAACGATGACACCGGCATGGAAGGTCGAATCTTGAAGATCAGGCACCATATCGGCCACGCGCTTGTTGATAATTCCCACTTCCCTTTCTATCTTGATTACGTTTTTAGCGCGCCTATTGTAGTCCTCTGCAGAGTAAGTTGACCAACCAAAAAACAAACGGCTGCCGAACATGAAGAAAATAGATAACCAGTTCCAGTTATCGCTTTTGTACAAAGCAGTCATAAAAACCCCGTTTCCGACTAATCCCAACACGGTTGGAGCTATAGCATTAAAAAAACTCGGTGAAAGGGAACGCCGTAGGAGTAGACGCTTGATGGAACCTGACAAAAGGTAAGCAGTTATCAGAGTCGTGTAGATACGAGGATCAAAATTCAAACGTCTGTTCGCCTGGAAACATAGAATAATGGGGGGAAATGGCCATGAGAGGATCAATGAAACCGAGGAGGTGAAAGCGGCCAAACGAACTTTCTTTTTCCGCTGCAATAGGATAGGACTTGTGGGTTCGGCGTTGAAAGGTACCGCACCTTCATCGGCAATCCTAACCATAATCTAAAATGACAAAACCATTTGTACAGCATCAAGAGATGAACAATAAATAGATAAGATTCTGACAAATGACCAAAATAAGTTACAGCTAATGTGGGCGAGGAAAATTAGAACTTTACCTCTAAGATGTGAAATGTACGATCTTTGAAGGTAAGATCGCGCAATTACATAAAAACACCCGATTCCCATAACTTATAGCAAACAATAAAATTTGACATTTTGGGACTAAAGAGTCCTACCACACTTTGTAAGTCTTACATGAATTAAGTTGAGAACGACTAAATAAGAATCGATAACCAGCTGAGAAATGCAAGAATGACCCGATGAACAGCAACAACGAGAATGTAATATACCACTTAGCAGGGCCAATTAATTGGTACGCCTAAACAATCCATGCGCATAGCATTTGAATAAAGAATCGGGTGTAGGGAAAGGATAAACTAAATCATTTTAGTAACCTAGTCTTTTGGAGTCAATCTTTTCAACTTCTCAAATACATTAATTGGTTTAAATTAACAGACAAGATCTGGCGTAATTGAGGTGGACTTAACAGAAATATAATGTAGAGCTCTAAGAAACTTTGGCTTAACAATCAAAAAACTACTTGTTTAGTCTTACTAGACATACTTAATGGATAACTTTTATTCACGCGCACTTGTAAGCACTATAACAACCCTTTTAGTTTCCTCCATTTATCCCTCAGTTTGCTCTTTTTTTAATACCTATTGTTTTACACAAGTGATCATTTTCACAGGTTTACCAGGTCATTTTTGTGTGACTGTTTATCTTATCTATTGCTGCTACACAACTTGACTTAAAGCCGTACCATAATGAAATGCCCCCACCAAGTAGGTCGAAGAATTATTCCCTTTGGAACTATTGCAATACTTACTTTGTAGCGTCCCGAGACTTCGCTGAAGACGGAAGAAGACATAATGCTAGGGCAGAATGTATATATTCAGCACAGCGAAGGCGTTTGGGCTACTGGCATGGCCTGAAGGTCAGCCCACCCAGCGAGGTACAAGAAGACAAATTCATGGGTTCAAAAGTGGCGCCTCGCCAATACCGAGGGACAAACCACCACCGTATTACACCTTCAACCAAAAATGAGTCAACCCGACTAGCTACTGGTGACGTGCGAAAAGTATTTTGGTGTCTGCATACATGTTGTGCATTCTATCATATTTGCTACTTCTCTCTTCCACCTCTGCCTTCATGCCTTTAGAATGGGTAGACGAGTTGAACAAAAGCATATTTCATTAGTCAGAGGCTACCAAAGGGTTTAACATACAACGGTTTAATTACATTTAGAGTAGGTTCCCTCCTGTAGGGCCGATGGCGTCGGATCATAAGCAAGGTTCGCATTTTCTAATTGCATCCTCCTGATTCGGTGTAATTAAACAAGTACGCCTTACTGCATCAAATATTTTTATCTTATCTCTGATCCAATACCCATGAAGCGGGGAGAAGTACCTTTATTAGATGGGCATGAGGTATGCCAACATATTGTAAAAATTTAAAATCGGTGTTCAGTGATGTCTATCTAGTTACGGCATTTCATGCAAATAAGTGCCTGTCGCCTACAAGAACTATTAAAATATTAGAACATTACATATCTGTAATTGCCCAATACTTTTTGATTTAAATGCGTCTAACAAGGAGGTCCCTTTAGTCTCTGCAGGCTGTGATTCTTGATGGTATGGCCGTAAGAACATGCTAGTCGCCTCCCAGTCCTCCCATGTGCTATTAGGACACTTATTCTACAGTACTTCCGCATGTTATGACTTTAAGGACAACTTAAGGGCTCATTAGTGACATCGACGAAGGAACCCAATCAAGAATTACATGTTTTCTGATTTTTATGGCTGTATGTGGCATCTTAACGGGATAGGAGAAGGAAATCTGTGATGACTCTCAAGAGAGGAGTCAAAAAAGGAACTCTGGCCTTGATAATTACTCAAATTCCGTGTTCTGTACAAATTATATTAATAGCTTAAGTGACTCCAGGCTTAAGCCATTTGGAAATGGTAATTATAGGGGTCTAAATCTTTTGGCTGATTAGAACTTATAGATAGACGCATCGTCGGATAGATAGGTGGACAGAGAGATAAATTGATAGAGGGCTGGGTAGCACTAAAATGTAAACGATGGCATGGAGAAATAGGCACGGAACATTCGATCAATTAAACTGCTCTAAATCCTGCATTTCATCAAATAGTTTGCCTTTTTGCCAAAAGATCTTAGAAATACAGATTAACGTATATTAATACAAGCGGATTTTTCACAAATTTAAGACCTTATTGTAGTCTAACTAGTTTCACCAGTATTGTGGTACTAAGATGGATTTCCATTCACTGTAATGGGCAGTAAATTTGTTGTTTTAAAAATAGAATGTCAAATTAATTCGGCGCATGCTGTTGTACCCAATGGAATGTATTTAGCATTGATTACTATAAGAACTACTCATTTGGTCACATAGTGGCTTATATGGCTCGAAAATTCGGCCCATGCATATTTTTCTGTTCGTGACTGATTGCCACACCACGTAGCCTCTTGCCAATCATGAAGCTTCAAACAGTGTTAGAGCCGATCTCAATTTAAAAAATTTCCCATGATTATAGACAAGTCTAAAAGCAGGAGAAGTTTATTATAAATTATAAATGTCTGTTAATTTTCTTGGCCAATGTAGGGATTTAATAATCCGCTTATCTGTGTGCTATATTACGTACGTTCTTTAGTTAAAACTTCGCTCGGAGGCGCGATCCTCTGGCCAGCTCATTTTTTGTACTACTTATTTATGCTACAGCAGGGACTCAGGTCACTACTCTAAACTCGCTCAGTGTTGGGAATCGTGTCCGCGATGCATGGAAAAATTGTCTTACTGTATTGAGTAAATTGATATGAAGGACGTAGATGGAGCAGGCTCATGCTTCCTTTCCAAAATACCGCCATTTAACTTCAAATTTAGGAGAAATTTAATATTTTCACAAAAAGAAGCAGAGGGAATCTGCAACGAATGTAGCTCAATCTGACAGGTTGACCTTGATTTATAAATGCACTGAACATCAAATTCCTACGGTAAAACTGACAAGTACAGATGGATGTGTAGACTGCTGTGGGTTTTAGTGTAAAAGCATAATAAAGGGCTCAAAGTATATGCAATACGTCGGTTGTTTAACTCTCCGTCTTTGTAAAGAAGACACTTGAGGCCTTCCTTATTTTACTTTCGCCTACTGAGTCAATCCGGGGACCAAGCCAATTGTCTAGGTCCTGATATATGTTAAAAACATATGTTATGCCCAAGCATTATGTCCCCTTTCGCCGTCGGGATCGTTTTATGGCGCCAAATATGCGTATTATATCTAAGCAAACCTGTGCATTACACGAAATAGCACCATTAATACCAAAAGCGAAATAACGCATTTTATGCTAAATCCAATGAAAAAAAATAACGTGAAGCGCTATAATAGGCAAAGTAAGCAAACCTCAATGCAAATTATTAGAAGTAACTTTTACTCTTTGTGCAAATCTGCCCACGCTCAAAATAAAAATTGTTCACTGCATTTTATCACGTTCTCCATCAATGGATCTTATCACCTCTAGCTTTCGAAGAGATTATGTGCTACATGAAGTAACTGTGCCTATTGGTAGTGGGCTTATATTCTATAATGCACTTCGTTGGGAAAGTATAAAATAGGCAACCATATTTGTTAAGTATGTACTTACTTTCATTTTCATTTGTCATGTTTCAAATTTTGCAAGCACTATATGCAACTTCGTGTCACAAATAATTATTCAAATATGTGCAATTGTTGATTAATGCCTGTATTTTTGTAAAAGGTCTGCAGTTGTTATTTTTAAAGGGAAAGTTATAACAATTTGTTTAAAATTCAAGGGCGTATTGACTATTTTAATCGGATATCCACTAACCCGCAGTCACAATACTGTTATGATGGCTGGAGGCGGTGGTAGGGTTCTCTTTCAGTGCACGTAGATTATTAATTACCACAAATATCTTGGTCTCTTATGTGGATTTTTTTGTTCTCAAGTTTTGTTTTTGGCACTTTATCCATATCTTGAATGTCAATGAGAGTAGATAGCTTGATCAAGACATCGCTACGTACCATCATGTAGTCTTTTTGTATGTGGAACTCCTAATACCCTTTTAGCTATTTCCCCTTATTCGGCATGTGCACTTGCGGCTACCGCTGGGGTTATCTGCTTGACCTGGTTTATCAAATCAATGGTTACTAGCAGATACCGCCGTCGAAGACTCGACGAGAAACTAAAGGACCAAAGTTACGTTTTTGACGCCAAGGTAAAGTCCTTCGTTGTATGCTTCCCTTCCAAAGCCTATCATTGCCTTCTCAAGTGATCAGCAACCGAGTATTGCATCGCTGTATTTAACATGCTTATTGGGTATCGGTCTTTGGTTTAGGAAAACATCAGGACCTCTCCATACACCAGAGATGGACCTCTTATCGACAAATTGATGGGCAACCTTTCGACGCTCTACGAAGTATTCCAGCACGGACTTAAAATCGCAAGTATGTCTAGAACCATTTTTAACTGCATTCCAATAATGGATAGCAGCGTTACTCATGGGGGTTGCTAACCCCTGATACAGACCAGGTCTGTTCCACCTTTCCCCATATTATTTGTTCGGTTGTCGTTCAAGATGGTAGTGGTATTATACTATCTTTTGCCAAACAACACCTTCGGCTCCATTACCGTCATCTCATCGAGTACTTTTTGGCTCTGGTCGTCTGGGCCTTCATTTCACCCTTGGCTGATTGGTATGCCTATTTTTTTCATAGAAAATAAGCCATGTCTCGGTTGGCGACCAACACCAGACGCACCGTATAGGTGGATAACATATGCTGAGGTATGTTCTGATGATTTATTTGCGTTGCCGAAGACTTATGCGCTAATCTAAGGTGTGTTGAGAACATTCTGGTGCTGTAATCTTCGTATTATCTTTTCGTAAAGCCGGGCTCTCACTTGAGTGACTTACCTGGGGTTTAACGTTTGCATTATGGTCGATTAAACCATTTTCTTTCCAGACTTACCGTCGAGTTTGTCGTCTGGGTTCAGGCCTTAAAACACTCGAGCCAGCCAATTTGAAGGACATCTGCATTGGTATCTATGCCACTAATTGTGTTGAAGTAAATTTTTTCTGTGGCATTTTAACACTTACCCAGAGGAGTAGTAGTATTATCCAAGCGATTTTCTTTCCCTTCAAGTGGGCTGTCACTCAGCAAGCGTGTTCGACGTTTGGCTTCGTTATCGTACCTCTTTATGATACACTTGGAGAAGTTGCGCGCAAATATATTCTAGAGCAAAGTAAGCATTAAACTTAATTGGAAATTTACTTTTATGCTGTTGGCCCCGATCTCCCATCTATCGCGGCTTTTTGTTTTTCTAGCCGAGTTGTCTATATGCGTTTGTGATTCCGCCACTAGAGTGCGGAACATTTTGGAAGACACGGTTACAACGGGCAACTGGGTGAAACACATCATCCTCATTCATCCCGGTGGTGAATTCGGTGTTCTGCGAGCAGAGGCCGAGGCCCGCAACATCAAGTTGCACACGTTTGATGAAGTGTTGGTACGGCAACTCTGTGCAATTTTTCGCTCTTCTAGGTGTGCAAAGCTAATCGAGTTAGTCCTGATGACGCCAGCAATAATCCCATCCCTTGTCACTTATCTCTTTATCGCATTAAAGTACAAACGTGTTCGAGTATGCGCCTCACCCACTTGAGATAATTGCGACGTCTTAGCGGGCATAGCTGGCAACAACCGTCATGCTCTTGTACCATGCTCGATATGTTTGATTTTATCATTCAGGCGATGGGTAAGGAAGACGCTCAGCCAGGGAAACTACCCCAAGCGGATGATCTACACCTCATCTGCTACACTAGTGGAACTACTGGTAAGCTTTTATTTTATATCAACGCATTTGTGAAATTGTGTTAACCATCGGTTAAGTACTCATTATACTTCAATGGGAGGCTTTTTTCCACGTCTTACGAATTTCAGGCCGACCCAAGGGGGTGATGATTACTCATCGCATGGTTGTCTCAGTTATCTCCGGCTTCGATATGGATCTGCAGGAAGTTGTAAGTCGGATTTTTCTTTTCCTGTTCGTCCGTAATCTCTGAATGAACCATCATGGCAAAAATTTACAAATTAGTACATCATTTGCCTTTGCTTCATGATTATTGTGGCTTTGGCGCCCACGACTCCTAAAAGCAGATTCTGCGGGCCTCATGCAGTGAGCGAGTTTAAAAACTCGTCCTCGCCGGATGCGCCACAACCCTCCGCAATCAACCAGGTCATTTGAAACCATGTGATTGTAATGCTTGTATCTTATTGGCGACGCTCTGCAGCTTTGTATTGGCCTTGTTTTCCATCAACTCGCCATAATCTGCCTTAGATTGAGTTCTAACTTCTGCGGATTGGTATCTTAACGCTTAAACATTGCCTGTGCAGCATCGACATTTCTAGCCGGTTGAAAGAGGCTGCTACTGTTAAAGTTAACGGTCTGTGGAGAGGTCGCTCCTTCACTTAAGAAATTAATTCGGTCCCCCATATGTATTCGGGGCTACTGGTTGTTGTTTGCCCTGTTTGCTTGGCTGCGATGTACTTTGGTTTTATACATGCATCAACCGCACCAATAATTTTTGCTAGTTTACCTTACTCCCTGATTTAGCAGTGGAAGCTTCGACATGTTAATAGGTTTATTGGTTCATCACTCAGATATATGCCCCCTACGCCCCGTATTTAGCACGTATTTTTTCGTTTCAGAACATCAAGCCGGGCGATTACTACCTCTCGTTCCTTCCACTGGCTCACGTTTTTGAACAAATCGTTATGGTGCGTCTTATTTGCCATCCAATTTCTTGCAGCATTACCCGGATCCTGTAGCCCTACCAGGTCTGCTTTGCTCTTCAGTAGGTACTTGTGAAGCTCAGAAGTCTGTAGCTTCAATTCATAATAGCTTTAACTCATCCATACCCCAAAAATGATCGAGTAAGGGGCTGTTTCTGCTTAATTCGATTCCAATTTGCTGGCTAATTCCATTTTGGGCCTCAGATTCCTCAACTATTTAGGAAAGTGGATGTATACGTGTTCAGGTTTTGAAGAAAAAACGGTTTATTGTTGCCACTTTGGGGGAAGGTAATTCTGAGACTCCGTGGACACCTTGCTTTCTGTACTATGGCAATTTCCGTTGGTTGATTTGACGCCAGAGTGGCTGTTTACGATGACTGTCAATTCACACCTCTTTAAAATCTCTTTTTCGAGCCCGCTCGACGTCCTTTGTTTTGTGATTTCATGGGAACATTTGCTCCGATGTAGTGCATATTTTCAAACTATTCTACTGGTTGAGTTCACAATGTTGCTGCTTTTCAGCAATACGCTCTAGGTCGTGGTTCAGCCGTCGGTTTTTTCGGCGGAGATTTGCGTCGGCTTTCGGACGATATCCTCGCCCTCCGCCCAACGCTTTTTGTCGCGGTGCCGCGCGTACTTCAGCGCCTCTACGGCACCGTCCAGGACGCTGTTGCTAACTCCTTTATCAAGAAGTGGCTTTTGAGGACCGCCGTCAATGCCAAAATGGGATATGTCAGGGAGTGGGTCGCTCTTGCCCTCTTTCCTCCTCTCCACTCTCATCAGAACCTTCACTTATACCTATTTTTCCATCGCACAGGGGCATTGTGACTAGAGACACATTCTGGGACAAGTACATTCTCAAGCCCATCCAGGACAGAATGGGTGGCCGTCTGCGTTTCTTTGCCTGTGGCAGCGCTCCCATTTCAGCGGAAGTCTATTCCTTCTGTCGAGCTGCTCTAGGTGTTCATGTAAGCGCTCTTTGCTGGTATCTTAAGATTCCATCTAACTTTACTGAAGGTAACGCTTTTTTCTGAAGGCTTACGAAGCCTATGGTTTGACTGAGTCCTGCGGGGCGATGATCATGACTCTTCCCAATGACTATGTTGCTGGTCATGCAGGCACGCCACTTCCTTGCTCCATGGTTAAACTGATTGATGTACCTGACATGGACGTCATTGTTTCTCGTGATAATGCTGGCGAGGTAAGCGCGTTTGGTCTCTCCGCCTGACTACAAATTTCCTATAGATCTGTGTAAAAGGGCCCAGTTGCACAAAGGGCTACTATAAGGACCCAGAACGAACGGCTGAACTCATTGATGCTGACGGTTGGCTTCACACTGGTGATATCGGTCAGTGGACTCCGGTAAGCGAATTTAATCACCTATTTTTATTCACCAGGGTCTTACTATTTGTAATGACCGACTGCCTTCTTCCCTGTTAGCGCGGCGCCTTGAGGCTGATTGATCGGTGCAAGAACATGTTCAAGTTAGCTCAAGGCGAGTACGTTTCACCGGAACGCGTGGAAATGATCTACGCACAGAGCCACTTGGTGAACCAGATCTTCCTCGACGGGAACTCACGTGAGTCATTTGCCATCGCAATCTGCGTGCCCAACATGAAAGCGCTGCGTGAGGCCATGTGCCTCAACACAAACGGCTCCCTTGCCAACGGGCTGATCAACGGTGCCCTCAGGAAGGTTAAGGAGTGCGAGATCTCCGACGAAGAGCTCTGTGCCAAGAAGGAGGCTTGTCTCACCGTTCTCAAAGATCTCGTTCGCCTTGGCAAGGAAGCTGGTCTTAAGGGATTTGAGCAGGCACGCACCGTCTGCACTTTTTGTGTTACCATTTGCCTTCATTCCGTCCCCTTATTCGCTCGGCAATCCTCTATTTTAGGCCAAGTCCATCTACCTTACATCGCACGAGTTCACAATTGAGTCTGGCTTAATGACACCGACCCAAAAAAAGCTTCGCTCTGCTTTCCGTCGAACTTTCAAAGAAGAAATAAACCGGCTTTACCAGAAGCAGATGATTTTGTAAAATAGTGAAAACGGGGAAGTGAATGCAGCTGAAACTATGAAGGCCAATGCGAGCATTGTCCCTTTCATTGCTGACTCACGCAACTGTCACTGGACTTCGCATTTCCCACTGGTCCCCTTCCCTGTCTTTACTTTTCGGTGATTATTGTTATATTTGTGCTCAAAACCGTCCTTTATGTTCCTCTCGTCGGTTCAATGTACCCTTCCCTTTTGCTCGTGGTGGCATATTTCACGTCCTCCACCCGCTTTCACAACTACATTGTTTCGGTCTTGTGTCATTTATCCTTTGTCGAAAATTAATAAATTGAATTGTTAATGTATTCTCGGGCTCTGTACTTAAACCGGGTTTATCGGAGCTTGGAATATGGTGGTGTGGCTTATCTGGCGACTTCATTCTTGTGCAGCTGGAGTTCAGTTTGTCGGTGGGTTTTTTTGAAACTCAAGTTAGGTGGTTCGGTCATCAGGTTGTTCTGATGGCTTACGTCGGTTTATGCGCCTCAGATTTACGCTGGAATCCAAAATGTAACCCGAGCTGGAATTATGCCCGCAACTGTTGAAGCATTGATTGCACATGTGGTCATGATCGTCTCCCTTGTAAGCATAACACGGCACAAAGTTAGGCTGGCTTGGATAGAGTTTATGCGTATTATCCAAACCAACAGTTAACTTGGAGACAGATGGGTACCAAGCAATCTGGGGTTCTCTTATTATACTTGCCTGGAGAGACCAAGTCGGTGACTTTCAAGCATTCGTCAGTCAGGATCCTGAGCTACATTTCATAGTTTCAATCTTGCCTAACACTTTTGAAAATACGATATTTGCCTTTTAAATATAAAGTAAACGCGTTAAAAATAAATCGAGTTTATTTTGACGAATAATACAGTAGAACTTTGATGTGATTACTTGGAGGAGACTTCGTGGATTAGAGGATTGTGACGTTCTAATCTAACGCATTAGTCGTTGAACAGCACTGTCACACTTTGAAGCAATGGAACTCAGATCGACCCTTCTTCAGCACTTTATGCTACGAATGGTATGATTTATGGGTAAAAGTTGCCTTCAAAGTGATTGTCCACATGCTCACTTTGTCTCGCTCTTCATTCCATGTCTTTTCTGCTACCGAATTCACAGCAAAAAATGACAATAATAATTTTGAGTAAATCAAACCCGTAGTAATAAGTGCTTCAGTGATTCGATAATGCTATCTTGAGGGGCTAATGTCCTTTTGAAAAGGGCAACGAATTGTCCTGGTGTTTGTGAACGCACTAACCGGCAAAGTCCGTTTCACGAAGCCGCCAGCAGGTAAACTAGACCGCCTTTTCAGTCCCAAAGTTGTGCGTCTGATTAGTTCGCTTGCAGACTGCCATAAAAAGTACAATCACATTTGATCAGTCAATAATTTCTGCCTTTACCACTTAAAAATTGGTTTTACTGGCACTAGGTCTCAGTATTCTCGTCTCCTGTTGACTATTCTGCAGGATACCCTAAGCTAAAAAGAGATCTTTGTAGTACTACATTCCCACAGCAATGCATTTCATAGTGGCACCACCTGCCGAGGGGATGGTAGATCAGACGTGCCATTCGTTATATGTAAACTGTTATAGACTACTCCCAAACCACTTAACAGTCACCCTTCAAAGTATTGCATCAATCAAATTGCACGAACTGCTTGAATCCTGAAGGTGCGACCGCAGAGGCACGCCGTTGGGCATCAGGGCCTAGACGCAGGTACTTGACTATTTCAAAATCACCGTCGAGGAGCCTAATTGAATTGAATTGATTGTCTTGTCATTACATGAAAAGTTGTTTTCCACCAATTCGCAAAAAAATAGCTCTTTGATAGTCTGCCCAAAGTGCTGTGCTCAATGCTTTTTGGAAAAATCTTTTCAAGTAGATTATGGTGTCATTAATCTCTTTTGAAATGTGAATTAGAGTGAAAGGAGACAGTGTCGCAGGTGTAGTTTTTCTGCGATCCGACTGAATAGCCTAACCCATAGCATGAGCAATCCCAACACCACTGCTTGAGGTCGGTAGATTTCAGTGGAAGCACTGAACTTGAAGTGCCGAGTTTACTTTTACTTTTACTTTTCTTTTACTTTGCTTCTTTCTATTTTCATTTCACATCAATGTCCAATTTTAGTCAATAACATGTTATGGACAGAAATTTTTGTGCCCCAGAGAAATAACGAAAGGTAAAAAGTGTGCTAATAATTAGGTGGTCAAATCCAGAATCAAATTTACGCAAATCCACTCTAACTTTTGTGACACCACTGCTCAATCTATTATTATGTTAGGTTTTGTTGTAAGGCCTTCCGATGATTACTAGGACTTGGTCGTCCATGCTCACCAGGCCTTTCCTGCCATCAATCTAAATTGCTTTCCATAATTTTGTCGACTTTATTATTGGGGCTGTTGCAATCATTATGTTTCTGCATATAAGGCAAGTCATTATTTAGATTAACTTTCCAATTTACTGTTGTGAGATTTAAAAATGCTCCTGTATAAGGAAATTGAAAACGGTAGTCCTAACTAACTGGAGAACATCGTGATATGATTTGTAGCTTAAGCAAAGTACAAGTGTCGGGATTCATTAGCGGTGGCAATAAATTATTACGGATTGTGATAACCACTTATTCGCCAGGAGGGCACTTGAGTCGTTTACGCAAAACTCATTGAAGCTTGTTATCCAATTTCTTGAGAAGTGGAGCGGCAGTCACCCCACTGCGACGTACTGCTCGCGTGCCCTCAACGCGACGACGCCGCTCACGCCTAGACATGGGCTGAAGCTCTAAGGTTCATCGTCGTCACCACCTCTCACTCTGCCCATGTGTATGACAGCCGCCTTTGTCTAGACTGCAACGCTCTCCAACATATGGCACGCACATAGAGGGCATTCGTCTTGGCCCCACGCTCTCTCACCTCCCTCTCTGCTCTCATTCAGACATTTACGTTTATGTGATTTAATGATGGTAAAAGTGAAACTGTCCCATTACAAAGCTTTAAAGGCAACTGGTTCGAAGTAATCATAATCGCTCACTTAACTTATGCATTACTCTTCTAAATGAAAAATTGTCGGTGAGGCTGGCAAGTGGAGGAAAGTGCACGCCTTAAGCGCATGAATTTGCCCAAATGTTGAGGCAAAATTCATATGGCCTATCTGATAAAATCAAATTATTCTTATAGCTGTAGAATGCCTGCTGACTTTCAACCTTCACGGCTTATGTTAATCGATGTAGTTAGCAGTATCCGTCTTGAATAAATGGAGGGTGATCCAACACTTTCAATGGAATGTCTCATTTGCAAGCATAAATGGGTGATCGGAGAAGCGCACATACACAAGCATACGCAATCGTACCAGACTGTGAGAAATCGCCTAACGAAAGCACTGAAACAAAAACTACTGATGCCTTCTTCATCTGCTTAACAAGAATATGGTTTGGACAATAACGTCATTCTAACCGTCTTCCATCGCCGGCATCTTTGGATGTTGCCTAAGCATAATGACTCGAGGTTTGATTATCCATCACGCCCAGATGAGCAGCCTACTTGAAGTAAAATTACTGGCTTAAGATTAGGGGATCAGGGGATGCTGGCTGGTGGTCCAAGTAACCGTCTGTCTGTTATTTGAATAGGAGACAAACCACTTTAAAAGCCGAATGAAGTAAATGAGTATCTGAACTTAACTCTCAATCTTTTTTGTCCTGGTTTGAAAGCTTTAAGAACAATTCGTTTGGCATGGCGAATGTGAGGCATCTGGAACCAAAGGAATTGAGGATCACCACTTTGTGACACTTCTTCAATGCTCTGTGTATGTGTACTCAGGTTTGTCCGCTAGGTTCTGATGAGGCTAAAGAAAGGAAATAATTATGCGGGCTTTGGTTAGCATGTAATCTTGAAATCAACTTAGGGAATAGCCACTTTCCTCGAAAAGGGGGTTCAGGTATCAAGTGGGTCATCACTAATCCTCTTTGAGCAGAAGTAAATGGCTGAACCGCTTCAAGCTTGGTCACAGCCCTTCATGGTTTGAAAAGAAACATTGTACCTTTGTTTCAACTAAAAGTAATCAGATATCATCTTACTGCATTTAATTTTGTTGCTGGGTTCTTCAGACACCTATCTGTATGCCATATACACCATCGTGACCGCCTTTTAGTTAAAACGTTTTCCTTTCAAAAGGTATGGCCGCCAATGGTGCATAATCAACTTGGTCTTAAGAACTTATTCATTAGAGGCATCCTCATGTAATTGCATTAAAAGTTGAAGCATTTATCGCCGGTCTTGAGCGCAGAGCATTGGGGAGGCCATGCTGGTTGTTGCATCGTTCGTTCTTGAGTACATCGTGGTTACGGCTAGGGCTATAATAACTAAAGTTTTCCAACCTAATTAAAGTATAACTGAGGTCCTAGAGTTACCTGTATTTAAAGTAGTTATTGTAAGGTCAGTAATTTTTCTAGCTTTTGTAAGACTGGAATCTGTGTGATGTGAATTTTGAATACGAAGACTTATATGCAGCTAAATACAACTACTCACATACATAATAATTAAGCCTACTATTGGTACTATATACAGTGCCTGACTATTTATATTGTTTACTTTTCCAGTTCACAAATAAGAACAAACAGATAAGATTGGAGACATTTTAATGCCTGGAATGCAAAATATCAACGGCAAAGTTTGTATAGTCATACTGGTGTTGCTGATAATGATATTCCAGTGGGCAGTCGTCACGCCCTCCTCACTTATGCTTCATCCACTGATTGTAAAAGGAATTAGTCCAATTTAGTCTCACCTCTGATATCCAGGAGCAGAAACAACCCCTGTCTGGGGTTGTGGATAAATCGGACTGTGTGACAGGTGAACACGAGATCCCAGTGTCTTTTTTGTGTTAAAATCGCGAAACTGTAGTTTTGAGGAGTAGGGCGGACAAATTAGCAATTGCCTATTAGCAACTACTGCGGTTTGATATCCACTACACTCTCACTGAAAATATTCAAATTACGTAACAGTTAGAAGGGAATGACCCATTAATGAGCAACTCAGCATTCAACTTCTGAGATTTGATAGGGGTTGTTCGCCCCATTGCTTCACTTGGAGAATTATTGTCTACTGATGCTGATAACTTCTAACTGATTGGCTTTTGTTATGCGTTGCATTTACCTAGTCACTTATGTGTTTTCTGGTGTTACAAAAAGTGAGCACTAAGCCTTCACATTTCCACACATCAAGTGAACCTTAATTATAACAACCAGTACTGACTGCAGCTAAAATTTGTCGCCAGCGGCGTAACGAAGTAGCTAGAAATTAGCAAAAACCTTTCGTGAATTCTTAAGTTGCGGAAGTCATGACGCTTTAGACTAGGTCTATTCATCGTGGCGATCGGATACGATCACCTTATGTTGCCTAAATAATTGAACACCCAGGGCGAATTTGAACAAGGATGGGCTAGCGCCAAGCAACTTATCAGTTGCTTCCCCTACTGATGTAATAGATCACAGCAACCGCGCTTTCCTTGTCTATGAGCGATAGATCATACACTTACTAGGCTCAATTTGGGACCACGATTGAGCTACCAAGGTTACCGCAAAAGAAACTAGAGTCAATGAAATAGCATAGTTGCCTATGCCTACCGTCGCCTCAATGCACAACATTGTGTGAATAAAGCCATCCACCAAACTGAATCGCCAAACATTCAGTCTTCTTTTTTACTCCCTATGGATGCCTACATGAGTGACGGTAATTTTCGATCATGATTATTTCTATTATAAGCATGCATTAACTTGCAAACTAAAGGCAGCACTTTTCGTCAGGCATTTTGTGATTTCGTTCACAAGCACCACTACCTTAATTATTGCCCCGTGAAACTTATTTTCTTCTGGATTATTTGCTCATCACCTAATTTTTGTGATAGATGTCACAATTTCATTCATTAGTTACTACGTAGGGAAGAGGCGAAAATTAGCCAAAAGACACCTGGTCTTACCCATAGTTTTAATGCGAACTACTTCACCCACCCTTTCCAACTGTAGCATAGAACGCAGGCGATTTTGCGGCATCGATATAAGTGTTTTGGAATTAAGCCTCTAACTTATGACACTTACCCTTCAGGATCAAAGCATGGGTCACAAGGAGACCTCCCCCGAATCACAGTAGATGCTAAATTTCGATTCTCCAGTTCCCAAATATTTCAGTCATGTGTTATGACACTTCTGTGATTGCCATTGATATGCAATCGGTTTGCGCTGCCATGGCAACGTTTTTTTCCAGTAAATGCTTCGTTTTTGGCGAATAAGAGGATCATATTGTGCTTTTACACATCAAGATGCCGTCGTGCGCTTGATATTTTGGTCACTGTGCCTAGCACTTGCGACGGTTATTATGTTGTTGACGCGTTGGCGCACTGCAAATCACATCTTCTAGTCGAACGATGTCAGGGCAGACGCACCGGACATCATACGAGGATCGTGTCTATAGCTTCTGTAAACAATGAACATTGTAGACATAGTGCTTGATGAGAACAGTAAAGGAAAGCACGTCGGTTTCAAGGAAAGGCTTTAGGTTGTAACAAATTTCACCATTTTAGAGTAGTGGGTTCTCACATCCCCTGTGCTTTACTGAGTCAAGAAAACATCCACACAATAAAGACCAATGTACTAGCTCAAAACTTAAACAATAGGCGTAGTTTCTCGATTTCCACCTAGGATATAAGTAACGCGCTTTACGAGAACCCTGCCATGTGTATTACAATAAGGATGGGCCTTTAAACAACCACAAACCCACCATGAAGTTAAAAACTGGTTTTTAGATATCTGAGGCTTAAAAGCATTCAGCAAAACCCACCCATTCACCCACATTTGCGGTCTGCGTCGGGGCCATTTCGCAACCGCGTCGAGTGCTGGTAACGCCTGCATGTGTAGGCGCGCGCTCTCTCCCCGCCCTCCCTTGCTCGCGTGCATCGGCCCACCTTTTCGGTGCGCTTGCACTTGCCGCCGCTGGGCGGAAGCCTGGAAACATGCGCCCGCAGAACGCACTTCGCACGTCTCCGCGTGAGTCAGCGCACAAGGGCCGCGCAGCAGGCTGATGCGTGCTCACTCAGGCGTGGATGTGTCGGATGGCGCCTGGGTTGGGTGACCACTGCCTTGTGCACGTACCACCGTTGTGATGCATTGGTGAAATAGCTGCTGCTCCAACGCCCCAAATTCTCATGAATTTGGGACAAATATGACAGCCCTGCGGAAACTTACGATTGAAAACACAAAGAAAAATAAAATGAATGATCTGCAAAGCACCCAAAGATTTCGTACTCGAAGATGCCACTCAAATATGCCCACCAAGGTTAAATTACATTACCAACACAGTGGATAGTAGGAGGACTGCAATACGAGTTTAGGATTCCAAAAGCTTAGCTTGTAAACGACTCTAGTACGAGACAAGCACTGTACTCGTGGTTCAACACAGTCGTTTACCTAAAACCAATGTAGACAAGGGGCATAGAGATAGACACGACTACCGCGCTGTTTTAAAGTTATTTTTAGGACTATACCACCGCAAAATTGATCACTAGGACTTAGTAAGAGTCACATTGTCTAGAATTTAATGGTCCCTTATCAGTAATTATAACTAATGTGCGGGCATTTATTCACAAATTTTCATTCGATCAATTCTGGCTCGATTGGAGTGAACCGACCTGCGTTTTGAAAGCACTAAAAGTCAGATTTAGCGGCGGAGAAGTATGGGAAGCAGGAGGGAGAGCCATGCGATGATGTAGTCAGTACACAACGTAGCCCCCTTGCAAATGCTGCCAGCCACCGAGCTCTGGTGAATGCGTGAGAAAAGGCGACGTCCAGCAGTTTTCCCGTTGGCTGAAGACGCGACGCAACCTTGGTGGGTGCACGTGCACCGACGGTGAAACTGATGATGCGGGTGTGGAGTGACCCGCGTCCCACCTTCGCACCAAAGCGGGATTTGTTTCTATACTGTTAAAATAAATTCAGTAAAACGCATTTTCCGAATAAAACTACGAATTCAAATTTGAAATACTAGGCGACTCAAAGGCCTTCAGGCTGAAAGATGGCACAAATGCATTTCAAGCAAGTGTTTCCAAGGCTAGAAGCTGGGCTTCTAAGAGTCAAGCTAATTCGAGGCAAGGTGGTCAAAGCGCTAGTGTAGAATTTCCGGCCTAGCTACAAAAGAACCATAAATGCCCACTGAAATGACATGTTACGATATCATCTCATCGCAAACCAGAACACCACACCGACAGTCCGATTTTAGTCAATTGTAAAAGACGGAACTAGTTTCTTGTTGCCAATCATCAAAAACTGAAGAGTAACATGGAATATTTCATGAGGCACTTCGTTCAAGAGGGGGTTTTACTACAAAATTAGATGAATTTATTGACACAACAGATTACCAGGATTAACAGTGCAGTCTTCTAAGAACCATAGGAAGTTGTGCAAGTTAAGAATGCAACTTGTTAGAAGAGCAGTGAAAGGATGTGAGGATAAGGGGGCGGACAGGATGTTATGGAATAAGTCAAGAAGCCAGACCCCCATAGGCAAATAGTTATCATATGCATATCATTAGAAGAAATCGCTTAATTATACGGCACTTCCTAGGAGTTGGCGTGTAAGTCCAATGTAAAACTAGTTATCAGTTGATGAAAAAAGGCATAAAAGCAAGCAGATTAGGCGAAAAACGCTGCTGACAGGCCAATAACTACACGATGACGTTTGATGCAGATAAAAAATTCACTAATTCAGAGTTAGATTGAATATATTAAATTGCTTTAAATGTTTTAGTGGTTAAGTACTCCGTTTAAAATATTGCACATGCCAGATATTTAATCCTAGTTTTTTCATCAATGGGAACTAGCGATAATATCCCGAGCGTTTGTTGAGCTCGAGAATTAGCAACGCTTGAAGGCCTCGAGGAAAGCTAGAGTGGATCGCAGATCACGCCGCAGAGCAAAATATCCATATCTGCATGGACTTTGGAGTCAGTGCATTTAGGGGAGTTAGCAAATAGTTGCAGTAAGCTTGTCCAAATTACACTATATTCTGCAGAAACAGAGCTGTCTTAAAATGTGCAAGAGTCAGACCAATCTGGCATTAGAATGATGCACTTTGCTCTATTTAAAAATGCTATTGTTTTGTTGTAGCAATCTAAACAAGGCTCTGATATAAAATTCACCAAAGATTTAAAGGTTTTAATGGGTATTATTTAAGCCTGTTATTTCAAGTCTGATAATATTGGCCAATCGCTTTACCGTTAGCAGAGTAACTTTTCCTCTGTTACATATTAACTATTAGTTTGGTAACCATTGTTTTCAACATTACTTCGCGGCGGTTTGGGCTGAATGCGAAATTCCGCATAAGAAGTCTTCCACTTATTAACACTTTTAATCAAGCACATGTTTTATTTATTTTGTTGGCGTTTTCGTAGCAGTTAAGAATCCGGTACGCCTCTCAAATTGGTTAACATTTTCTTTCGTCCTAATTGGCATCTTGAGAGATTTACATAAATTTTGTTGTGAAGATCTTTATTGCTTATGTCCCACTTTACCTCACTTCTAGTATGCATTTAAGCTCCAGTTTGAAAACACTCAAATCCAGTTTTCTCCCCACAATGATATACCTGATTTAATTGTTATTGTCTATTCCAGTTGTAAGATTCAAGCGCAACATTTGCCACATAAGTTTCTGACGTTTCTTGTTTCTGGTGTTACAGCATGTGTTCCTCACATTACCTTTTGCGAAAGATCGTATTTGCGATTACGGGGCCGGAATTGATCAGTGTTCCGACAGGTTTTAGAACACCTGTGAGTTATATCTGATTAAAACTACCTTTAGTCTGAGCCTTATGCCGCAGATGTGTTTGAACGGGTGCTTTCTTTTGCTATCAAAATGTCAGATGTATGCATAGATCTGGCAAAGTGGACTGTGTGGCTTTGGTTACCGTTTGCGATTTCTGATCGTAAGTTTGTGTATTACCCACCAAGATCAGTACAGTTTTTCACTGGAACGTCCTTTATCTACATTTGAAACTGGGTTGTACGCTTACCGCGACATATTTTGTGCTTTACATTCTCAGGGGTGAGTATATTAAAGTGGGCACTTCATGAAATATATTTAGGGTTTGTTCGTCTTATGAATCCATATTATAAGCGGTTTGTGATAATATATTTGAACGCAGAGGACAACTTAGATCAGAATCTTATTGTATGCCCACTTCATTTGATAAGCTCATTCTAGGATGCATTAACACTTTACGGCTTTCGGTATCCTTGGCCAGCCCAATTTGACGTTCGCGATCTGGAGCCTAGTTTGCGTTTTGAACGTAAGCTAGTGGAGACTAGACATAAGGAGTCCTATTCAATTTTAATGCCATTCCTGTAAGTTGCCCTACCCCGTATGCATTCCTTGTTTATTCAGCTTGCCTTACCATTTCGTTTTCCTAGCTCGATTCTTGCAAATACCATTGGAGTAAGAATGGTTTATCCCGGTTGCCTAAGCATGTTCAATTCTTGGGCGCGTACGTTACCGTCTTGTTAAATAAATCAAAATTAGTTGGTCCACAGTTTTAAGCTTCCACATTTCTTTAATACAGAAAAAATCTGCGGTCTTGGAGCTACAATCAATACTTCGTGATATTTGATAGCCTTTCGAATTTTATCTTATCTTTGTCACTTATTCTCCGTATTCATATTATGTTGAACACCGGATTTTATTTGAAGAAATCGTAAGTAATTGTAGGTAGAGTAAATATAGGTTGTCGTTGTAGATTTAAAGGCTTGGGCTTGATAAAGTGTTAGGTGTATTTTTCTTCATAAGCTATCTGTGGCAGCCAGTGCTTTCCCTCTCTACTTGTCATCAAAGTATGCTTAGATCTTATTACCTCTGTCATAAGTTGTAAAAGTTAGGAATGCTTGAATGGTCATCCTCACTGATTGGGTTTTACATCGCCTTACATTTGATTTAGTTCGTATCACTGGCTATCAACAGCTCGTTTCAGTTTATTAGAACACAGGCGCATTTTTCAACATATTATGGTATGAATAGGGTGGTTATTGTAGTTTGCTTCCAAAAAGTTGACGCATTGAACAGATGAAAGATGACGCATATATTGTGTTTTTAGTTGAACCCCGAATGAAGGCGCTGGAGTCTTTGCGAACAAAAGTGAGTCACGAACAGAACATTCCCAATTTCTCATTCACATTTTACTAAGCAACCATCGCAGTGCAAGCCAGCACATTCGTGTAGCTTATGAACTTGTTCTGCTTTCCTTATTAGGCATTACAGCCCATAAGAAAATATGGAAACTGAGGTGCGCTTTCAAAGGTGTATTTTTGTGGACGTTTTATTCAAAGATCTGCATTTTTGACACCGAATTCGCTGTCTACTTCACTGCAGAGATCAAGTTAAGCACGCGAAATCCTCAAGCAACCTTCTTTGTCGATAATTTAAGGATCGGTGGAAAGCAGTCTCAAACACCACCTGCGCTTCGGTTTAAGTCCTTTCATCCTGATCCATAGTTTGACTACCATTGGCGTGATTGCTGAGCCTTTTTTTTCAAAACTACAAGGCATGACAATGCCGTATTTTAAGAGCAATTGAGTTCAAGTCCCCAATTCTTCTTCTTCTTTAGTAAATCCTCGTTTTATATTAAGTGGAGGGTGGATGCAACAAATCTTCACTATTTTGCCACATCCACTCTGGTTCTTTAGTTGGTCGTCAGTACTAGCTATTTTGGTCGCAATTAGAAGTAAATTATCTGCTATAGCATGCTTTTTCGGCCTTCCTTAAATACTGCGAACTAATCTGCACTTTTTCTCCCGAAAAATATTGATGCAAACAATGCTTTGTCTTCATGAGTTACCTTGTGAACGAAGTCATCGGTAGACACCCCTCCTGTAACCTGAGACATAAATTGGGTGTTCTTTTGGAGTGATCTGAGGCTGGACAACAATTTGGGGACAAACGCACGGCACGAATTTTGTTATCCACTTTCGACTATTTCTGATTGCGTTCACATTAGTTCGATTGGTATATGCAACATGTGAAGTTTCCACCGTTTGCTAAGCCTAGATCAACGGTACCTGAGTATAGGAACGCGGATTTAATCTAGATATTTTGAACATAATACATGGCGAATAATCGTTGGTTTCGCCTATTTATTTCGCAAAGTACAGTTTTATTTCCGCTAAATCTCTTTCTATTTTTTAAACAATTGCCAAATGCAATTGGAATAACTTTTGTTCCTCTAATTTAAGGCCGTTCAATCCGAGATTATTTAATTTCGGGGCTAAATTGTTGATGAAAAGGTTATTTTCCATTAAATATGAATAATAAAGGCTTCGTTAAAATTAATAAACTGCTTTTATAATTCCATTGCGTTGAGTTACAATAATCCCGTCGCTTTTATGAGGAATTTCAAACTCATGCTCATGTCTTGCATGAAATCATCGTTCATTTGTCTATAAAAGCGCAGCATGTGCTGTATATTTTAATTTGGATGACAATGAATGGCCCTTCTACTCAGGACTGCCGATAATTAAGTAATTTTGAAAGGTTTAGTTTATCCATTTGATAAAAAGGAGCATTTAAATGTTGCTAGGCAATATTTGTGCATCCACGGAACTCTTTAGCTTAAGATATGCTTAATTGGCCCACTATTCCGTAGAAAAAGCCCTTGAAACACCGCTTGAGGATAATCGCTATTTTGTGGGGACTTTGGTGTGCTGCATCGTAGTAATCCAGCATAATCTCCTCCAGCTTCACATATTCACCTGGTCAATTATTCCATTTGGCGTCTGGTTGAGAGCCTACTATTTAAACTCTAAAAGACAGATTTTTATGTTTCCAAGTAGAGCTGAAATTTTGGGGCCACGTTGGTATGCTAGTTATCGTGCTGGAAAAGTATTTGCTTTACTGCCCTGATGTAAGGTTTACCTTAAATATTGAGGAATTCAAAATCTTGGGAAGAATGTTGAAATAAAATGTACAGATAGTTTTCTTTAGTTGGGCTAACGATAGTTGGTTCAGTTGCAAGATATGTGATTTTATTGCGCACGATTATGCGAAATTGTGTATTGTTTACTGGCAGTACAATGCCCGTCGTGTGGGTCTCATTACCAATGAGGGACTGTTTGTGGAGGCCTTCTATGCCGATCGACGAAGGGAAGAATCAGAAAATGGGGAGATCTTGGTAAGCAACTAGATTTGCTGACTAAAAATTTCCATTGTAAACGCGGCGATGATTTTCGCTTCACCCTCCAGTTGGAAAATTCCAGTATAAAGGCACAGTCCCATTCGTAATCATGCTTCTTCCTCTGAGGTCATCTGCTGTGAGGGCAATGCAGGATTCGCTGAGATTGGCATTTCCGGCGTTCCATTGTCAGCTGGTTTCTCGATCCTCGCGTGGAATCACCCCGGATTCGGAAGCAGCATGGTGCGTCTACAGCACGACTACTTTGTAATTTTTTACCCCATTTCTTTTGCCTGATTTGGTAAATGTTATCATTTCCTGGTTTCATTTGGATATGGAGGGCAACCGTTGGTCCTTTATTTTCCTTTTTATTACCCGAATGAATATTTAGTGTGTGGAAATAACGACAGGAACTCATACGTTTCTGGTGTCAATCACAATAGTGTAGACGGTATGCTGAGACGACAAACACTTGCTGTGTGGCCAAATGCGTTTTGCTTCAAATAGGGCATGCCATTCCCAGAGCAAGAGATGAATGCGGCGGAGGCGGTGGTGCTCTTCGCTATCCATCATCTCCACTTCGAGCCTGCGGACATTCGTCTCTTCGGTTGGTCTATTGGTGGCTTCTCCGCTACGTGGGCTGCGATGCAACTACCCAGTGTTGGAGGATTGGTGTGTGCTTTTATGCAATTACAAGATCTCGTTAATAAAGTTTTACTTTAAATAAACCTTCATCTCTGTGGGTTTAAGCACACTCAATCGTGTAAACGAAGTAAAAATTAATTTAAAGTCATTTGGCATTGCTCTCTGATGATTTGTCTTGTCCGTTTTAATGCCTATTTAGATAAACTAAACGATTATAAATGAATCTGGTGACGCAAGGTGGCCCAATAACTGAATCTATCTCAAGACAAAAGAAGAACTAGTGCCATGCCGTTTTACTTACATTTTAGATTCTGGATGCGACATTCGATGCACTCGATGAATTGAGTAGGAACGCACTACCATTCATTGGAGGTAGTTGCCATTTTTTTGATAAACCTCCTTAAACGTTTCATCCTACGCCTTAACTTGTCGGCGAAGAGTTACCACGTTGTTTTCCGCTTTCATTAGTTAGCACTTTTAGTGAAAGCTCAAATGATGTTTGCGTTATACAACAAACAGGGATTCGTGGCTGTTTAACGTATGCTATAAATCGATGTAGCAATAAAATATTTTTCTTATTTTTTGTGTAGAATCAGTCCCCGTCGCCATGGTTCAAAGTTTCTTCAATTTAAACAATGTAGCACAAATTACTGAGTAAGTTTTCTGACATTAAAATATTTCTCCATAATGGCTTTTTCCATTAGTTCGAGGCTGTGTAATAAAGGTGTGCATGATGAATGCATCAAATTTGCTGCTCACATGCACTCTCCTTCATCACTTTATTGTCAAAGCTCCGTTTCCCCTCAGGTACCCAGGTCCGATTAGAATTATACGACGTAGCAATGACGAGGTCATATCCACAGAGTAAGTTCCCGTTTTCACACGTAAATTTTGCCAAATACTTGGGACGTAAGTCCATTAACAGACGACCAACCAAGGGGGGTAGACCAATGCTTTTCCTTGCATCAGCTGTCTTCATTTCTTGTTTTCGCTTTTTGTATAAGTTTAAGAACTGAAGCTCCCCATATGGGAGTAGAAAAGTTGGCCGATCTCATTTTAAATTGAAGCTTTCTTATGAAGGGCGGAACCCAGTTAATTGCAGATAGTGCATGTATGCTTCCAAAACTGAGACTCATTTTTAGTGCGGATGAGCAACGATTATCGAATCGTGGGAATTATTTGGTCTTCGGCCTGCTGAAATACAGGTAAGTTGATTTAAAGTATCTGCTTTTATTAACGTATCTTTTTTGTTCGATAGGATGGCAAGTATTTTTCATTAGATCTTGATTTAAAGTAGATGAATGAGGGGTTTCGATACTAATGGAATTCACAGTCTAAACTGTGTGAGTCTCCCTCAGGTTTCCTCACCTCTTTAATGACGACACGGAGGTTCTGTTTTGGAAATACCTTGCAATGGATAAGGCTGAACAGGGTAAGTTGATGGATCGAAATCCCCAATTTCCCCTCGTTTTGTTTTGCACCTTGGAGGGGCATAGAACATGTACTAGTCGGTGATTGATGGTACTCGTGGCAGACAGACTTAAGCATTCATTCGTCTTGGTGCCCGACAAGGTGTTCGCCGAATTGCATTGCGTTGACTTCTTTTATTCCTGCAATGCTTGTTTAATGGCATACTGATCTTTTCTGAATGGCACACGCGTACACATCCGGCTGCATGGGCAATCGAACTCCCATTTTCCTTCACGCGCCCTCAGGTGTAATCTTTAGTCATACTAAATTAAAAAGGCATTGTTTCTTAATCAACGCGATTGTTAGTTACGCAGGTTAGCGTTATAAACCTACTAACTGCGTCGTAAGTGATGCGGTGTGATGCGTGGTACAGACTAGAACCGTATATGAAAACACATTGACGAGACTGGTTAACTGTATAAATGTGACGCTTTTGAAACCACTTTTACTGTTTCGTGTTTTTTTCTGATAGAATAAATGCTAACTCCAGATCAGTAAAATCTTTTTAAAAAGTTTAGTTTTTAACCCTGGTGTCACTTAGGGGTGTGTATGCACCGTCAGACCTCGGCTAGCCTCATCCAATAACTTCCGAAACCTCGATATTAGTGTCTATGATGCCTCTGAGTCCTAAAATGATGAAAAGCACTGCCACGTCTCTTTGCAATTGTGAATATAATTCCGTCCGTAGAGTCCTATTTGACGAAACACGGCATAGTGGACGAGGTGATGGCGCCAATTTTGCAGCACGAGTTTCGTAAGGAGATGCTGGATTTCGCTTGCTCTGAGGATGATGCCTCCGGCTTGACGATGGATGTGCACCGCTCTCTCCCCTTTCCCTCCCATCTTGGCGAGGAAGGGATCAGCGACGCTATGAAACGCTCCGTCCTCATCTACTTGGTACGTCTCTGCATGCCGCCTCCTTTACCGCTGTCTTATACTTGAGCTCCAGTAACATATTCACGTAGACCCTAGGGCTAGATGGACAATGAATTTTTTACCGAGAACAAGCTTCATTCAGGCAGAGAAGGACATCGGAACGAGGCTACCAGTTTTATGATCATAATTAAGTTATTACCTTATATTTCGTGATTAGTGTCCGAAAGATCCCGTTAACGAGAGGATGTTTCCCATGTACAAGCAGGAACTGTTCTGGAGATTCAACTCGTCCCCTTGTAGACCAGTAAGTATTTTATGGAAGCAAAGGGTAGCCATTGCACCACACTAGACCAGGGGAGCTTCCAGGAACCCTGGTCTGAGTCCCTCGTCCTCTGTCGCTCGCAGACTGTCAACATCGATTTGGAGACCGAAGGCAGCAGCGCCAGCAATGGCTACGATGACAGCGCGGATGGGGGAGAGATAAACGACTGGGAGAAAGTTGCCTGATAGGTCTGAAGTCCCGCTCCCTCATGAAAACATCACTTCTTCCTGATACTACCCTTGTGAGCCTTGGACTATCATATCTTTCTTGGAGTCCGAGTGGATTTAACCTTAACTGCTACCATTGTACGACGGTTTTTTCCCTAAATCATAATAGCAGCGATGCAAGTTGTTAGCACACTCCCGGCGGTTAGCCTCAAATTCATTTACTATCGGTTAAAACTAGCATAGTGGGAGGGATGTTCCAATAGTTAAACAACGAGTTTAACACTGCGAATTATCCAACTACCGTTAACAATTTTTCGAGTCGATGATGATAAAAGATACTGACTACAAGTGGATCGCAACTGTGGAACGATAGCCGCTTAAGGAGCATTTCATCATCCACCAAGCGTCTTTATTCGTAGATTGGCAGAAGATGAGGTCTATAATTTCGCAACTAGGGGTAAGGAAGGATTCGTGATCGGCAAGAATGAACTTTATCAAGTTTCCAAAATTGATGGTTAGTTGTATGCGTTTTCGATCAAAGAACAAATAGTGAGGGTAGACTGGTATAACGGGTTAGAGTGCAGACTGGCAAATCAGAAAATTGGACGGACGGATTTGGAGCACGCACTAACCGGCGAGCAGAAAGTCAGTAAAGCTAGTTGGCAGAAGTAAGTAATTTGGCTGCGGCCCCATCAAGATGCCATGAGGGTTTCGAGGCAAGGGGTTGAACCATGCTTGCGGGGTACATCACCGACGGATGATCATCCTCTATGATTTTCTATAATGTAAAAGCGAGACTAAGCGAAGACTCTTATCACACCCAAGGTGTTGGTCCGACATCTGGACTAAATTGCCAGATAATGCTAGTTAGGAAGACTAAATGAACACAATTGATTCTAGTAATTGAGAGCAAATTGCTACACAAACCATAGACACTTTTTATGGCACTATGACGAGGATGTTGAAGGTGGAAACGCTAGAGAATTATTCCGAAGGATTTGACTGTACAATTGTCCACACAGAGTATAATGTTACAGGCGAACTCACCTTGATAACTTCTGCCTTATTGGCTCCGGTGACAATAAACATCACCTTGTTGGCTTTATTGATCACGGGGAGAGTTAGAGTCACCCGATTCGGTGGGGGCTTAGGGCTATCAGTGATCGGAGCGACAACCAGATTTTCAATCTTCGAAAGAGTAGAGATGACGGGTTAACTGGTTGCAATTGCACATCTCAGGTAAAGGTGTAAACCAATTTAGTGAACCAATAAACTGGCAGATCTCAAGACTGAACTACACTAGGGAAAAACTAGTTTTTTAAGTAAATTTCAGGAGCTTAACCGGTGGAAGTAACGCACCTCTAGAAGTTTGTGACGCGGAAACAATGAGCAAGTGTGGCCATCTGGACCTATGCCCAGAAGAATGAGATCAAAAACCGGGTAGCCGTTCTCTGCGCCAAAGAATTCAAGAATATCGTTTTGATAGAGTTCCGCTACTTCTTCTGTTGTTGTAACAGTGGGATCGATCTTGTGTACAACAGGTGCGGGAGAAAGTTTTGAAAAGAGTGTCCTTTGATAGACGCCAAACGTTGACTCTGGATCATCAAACGGAACGACTCTTTCATCGCAGAAGAAAAAGTGCACGCGGCTCCAATCAACATCGCTCAAAGCTATTAAGCCAGGAGAGATCTGGAAGGGCATGGAACCACCTTTCAAGGGAAGCAAACATTGTTAGTAGAAATACAGATGTTCCAAACAGTCTCGCCATTTAAGAAAACTATACAGAAGGAATAAGTGTAAAATGAAATAACCCAAAAAACAAACCAGACAGTCCAACAGACACGATTCGCCGATCGCTTGTAGTCGTGCGCAACACCGAATAAATTTCGTCCACAACAGCATTCTTGAAAGCTTCTTCCGAGGCGCTAACAAAGACGCGTGGCATGCCAAGACCTGTCAAGAAACTATAATCATAGTCGCAAACAAGGCAAGTGCACAGCTGCATTAACAATTGCGTAAGGAAAAACTATTTTGCAGTATTTTGACCGCATAATCTTAATAAAAGCACCAGCAAACGAGAAATGGAAGCAAAGTCTAGACGTCCTCACAAATGAAACAAAGTACCAGTCCACACAATTTCCAAAGTCCCGCTTTGTTTAATTAGCATTGATTGTGCACGATCTTCATATCAACATCAACATGGCATAAAATTAACCACCTCATGCAGCATCCGCATTTATTTCACAAAGAAATATAGTGGTGCGTAAGTCGAAAAATTCTGCACGTCATAACAGGCTAGTTTTCAAAAATCTAGGCTATTATCAGCATCAAAATAGTGAGCTTTCCTGATGTGTTAAAAGTGTATTGGCTGAAGGTAAAGTCGCAATCGGATGTAGGCAATCAGTTTTGATTTCAAACAATAAGGCACCAGCACCAAAAACCTTGTTGCTGAGCCATCACGGTCTCTTTGGGCTGTACGCATTGCTCGATATTAAAAAATCGTGCTAAGCATGCTTATTTGCTATTGCTCGCAATAAATTCGCCGCAAAACTGCTAAAACTTACGATAGAACCCCCACAAATTAATACTGAGTGTGTCAACTAGCCAAACTACCAAGCCTTATCAGCTGCATTAACCTCCCGTTTTCAAATGGACGTAAGGAATTCCTAGTACACCAGAATCGCTCAAAGATGTTATACTCACGGGAAAGTCACTGGGTCCCGTTAAAAGCCAAACAGGCTAGGGGTAAAGAGAGCTCATCTAACACGGTGACGTGTCGCGGATGACCTCGGCAGATGGGTGTTGGATTTGATCAGTCGTTGTCGTTTTCGTGGCTCAGTGCTGTGGCCAACTTCTGACTTTTTTGGTCCAAAGTTAAATTCACCGAGAGTTTATGTCTGTACTGTGAAGTTTGCCGATCCTAATGTGCAAAAGAACTCTGATCAAAGTGGATAACTACCCACCTCCAGTCTCCTTTTGGGCATAAGTCGTAGAAGGCACACTTTGCTAGTTTCTGCTAACATCTTGGATATTTCTCTTGGTTACTATAAAAGAACTTATTGACTAAAATCTGTTCTTCAGGGGAGATTATAAGTTGAGCCAAAGGGTTGCAGCATTCCCAAAATCCGTATACTAGTGTAATACGATAGTGGTTTATCTCTCGGTTCTGATGAGGCGCCACTTTTGTACTTCGAATTAGCCCCCTTGTACCTCGCTGGGTGGGCTGGCCTTTTGGGCCATGCCAACAGCCCAGACACCTTCTCCGTGCTGAATATATATATTCTGCCCGAGTATTGTGTCTTCTTTCGTCTTCAGGGAGTCCCGAGACGCTACACTAGACTATCCTGACACTTACTACAGCCGAAAAATGGTTCTCAGAAAGTGCTCGTAAGGTCTGCTGTTTTTAGCATCGAGGCTGAAAACAGGGGTGGAATCTGGTGTACTCGAGCTATTTGTTGAAATTCGTTTCCATTTTGAAGGGCGAAAGGTCCGCGAATGCTACTATCAGTGCAGCATTCCCACTGTTTTTTTCCTTTAAACTCCAATTGCACACCCCTGAATCAGGAGGGGTGGTTAGAGAAAAGCATCATTTATTTTGTAATGCAGGATTTGGCAAATAATTCAAGTGAATCAATGCCTGTCTCTCCACTAGAATTCTGCGATGATTTCGCGATCACGAGGTTGTTAAATCTATCCTCTTGGCATCTAAAAAGGGTGTACTCAAATAAACACGTATTTTACAACGTCCACATCACTTCAAATTATTGTAATATTATATTAAAAGACTAATTAGACTCTGGAAATGAGAACTATCTAAGTAAGGCATTAAAGGACCCAATTGTACCTCGGGATTATTCGTAGCCTACGTCATTATCAAGCCAGAGATTTCTAATGGAGAATTAATATTCTCTCAGACAGGCAGATTCTAGAGACTTGGGCCCTTCCTGATGCCCAGCCAACGGCATATTCGTGTTCAAAAATATTTATTACAAATAGAGCTAGAAGCTTGGAGATGATTGTTATGATGCTGCGATGCAAGCAGTAACTTAAGAGTCCATGTGCCCGAATGTATCATTTAATAGTTGACAAAATGCTGCATAGCTTTCTTCTTTTGAGCATTGACCTTGGCGCAACCGCTATCCACTTTCTACTTCGACTATCAGAAGGGCGCAAATAATTTAAAACACCTGTGAACAGAGAATAGTAGGTCATCGACTATTTAGGAGGGGGAGAAGACATTTTATCCGAGCATCGACGATACATCTCGTCGAATTCGCTTTATCCGTAGTCTGATTCTGTTTATAAACTTCACTAACTCCACGACGTTCTGCAGCGAAGGGACTCCACACATAAATCGCTATTCATAGGCAAATTTGTTTAAATTGGAGTTACTGAACTAAGGATATTACTTAAAGTAAGCCTATCCACCTTCATAAGTTTCTCAATCCTGTGCTGCTCACACAGTTGTCTAAGTTTTACCAAGGTACTAGAGAAATGAAAGTGATACCGTTTATTCACATAAGTACATATCCTTATGCAACTCATCGATAACACCTTATTGAGCAGTTTCAAATATCTAAAATGTGGCACATCTTCACCCAGTAATTGTCTTCTTGCGGAAAAAGATTGAAGTGATTGCCAAAAATTGGATTAACTTCCACAACCATTCTCTTGCTAGTCTCCGTAGACCCAGGCATTCTCAGCAAATATTCTCATGTCGTGACGCCAAAGTTTGTTAATCCAACATGAAAATTATGATAGCTGTTAAAATTGCTGTGCCTGAAGTGCGACATTCTAATGTAGAAGAATGGTTCATTTTTCGAGCACAGAAGATCTGGGAGGCTATAAAGGTGACAATCCAATGGTGCACTTATTAAATGTACTGTAGCAAATTTATATTTGATTTAACTTTACGTCTAGCTATTCGGGGCCTTGAGTGTCTGGGCATTGTACATACACCCAGAGGCAGGAATCTTCTGCCAGTGTTCTTTTTCAGTGATGTAGCTTAGTCAGGCTTCAGTGAAGACTCTAGAAAAATAGCCAGATTTCTACCGCAGGGTGATTAGCCTTAGTGGAGTGGAATGGCTGCGTATGCTACAGATGGGAGAATCTGTGACGGCCCATAACAGAAGAGAGGAAATGGCGTCTACCTTCAGCAACTATCCCGCTTCCGTAGTCTGTTGGAAAGCTATTGAGAATCGAATTGACACTAGCCATGAACCCTCTGGAAAAGTCCGTTACGGAGCTGTCTACCGTACCTATATAAAGATGTGATTAAGGTGAACACGTGATACCCCTCTACTACTCTTCCGGCTCGACAGAACCCACAAATGAGAACCACGTGGCAAGGTGGGAAAAGCGCAAAACCCTACTCCCGTAAAACTATGTTAAATTCCGTCGTTTATTATATGATTTTGCTTTTAGGCCGACTTTCATTGTACTAACGTTGGACACGCGTGCTAATCAGCATATTCCATTGTCCCCCCAATATAGTTCCCCAACAGGCCGAAACTTTAGATGCAGTAGAATTGCCACGACTTCGCGGTCAAGTTTTTTTTCCATTGACATAAAAACTTGACCAGTGGTGCGGTTGGTTCATGAGTGTTTTTCTAACACCGACTATGATGTAATGGCTGTCGGGGGAGTTCGACCAAGGGGATCGGCGGGTACTACTCAAAAGAGGCGAGGGTTTGTGTACTATGTTGACTGTTTAAATCCCGATTTTTGTGGCAAAACGGAGGCTCCGCCATTGGCCTTTGAGCCGTGCACGTAGTCCTTAAGTCCTTCTATTTGCGACAGTACATATTCCGCCCGAGTATTGTGTTCTTTAGTCTTCCCAAGATTTGTTTTCGGCTGTAATAGACGTCAGCATCGCCCCGGACATCTTAAATCAACTCGTCATTTACCGGGAAGAACAGGCCTTCACCAGGCACTTCTTTTACTTCCAAAAATCCAGTGAGGTTGACGAGCAGTACGTTGGTAGCATTCATTATCTGATGAAACGTACCCTTAGCTGCTCACCTCCAAACAGGGTCGCTAACTTATTGACTGTCCAATTCAGACACAGAACCCGACCACCCGTTATGGTTAAGAAGCTCTGCGGCATAAAGACCAACTTTCTTAATCAGCTTGGTCAATTTCGCAACCCAAAGGTCCAAGAAAGCCGAGCAGCCTCACTTCACCAGGTGCCCAACAGACTGTCTACCTCAGCACATCCACATCGTGCCCCTTTGCGCTATAGCCCAAGACCAGATGGGCCTTCTTTTCCCTATCCCACTTGCTACCAAACGGTTCTAATTTATTTATTCAGGTCCCAGGTAAACTTAAGGGACTTCAATACAATTTCCTACATGACTCTGGCGCAGCCAAATCAATGGTAAATTCTCAGGCTTTCCCTACTCTTTGTAATAATATTAGGATCTTTTCTGTTTCTACATAATTACCTTAACCAGAAAGAAGATGCTAGTAAAAGGGGATACGTCGTGAGAAGTCTGCATAGAGAAACAAACTTAGTATAATTTATTGTGTGAAGAACTGACTTGAGATGTGATACTTGGTACTCAATTTCTACGTTACGCCAAAGCTGTCTCAAATTTTGCGGAAGGCACCTTTTCCACCCACCAAGGCAATGAAGCCAGCACAACGGCTTCGCTACCAAAAAAGGCTCAGATGACATCTGCGGCGCTCTTTTTGAAGCCGCAGCCACCCGCATGAACAACTCAGATGAACTTTGCGTACAGCTGACTCATATTTTCGATGAAGAGAGAAAAAAACATCGCGAGTTGTTAACTAAGTAGGCGAAGACATTTTTACGGCGAAGCTAGGCCCATCTGGCAACCACCCAGACTTATTCTACCTCCTCTGCTAGAGGAGGTAGACCCTCTGGTTAAAGAGATGATTCTGGACGAGATTATAAGACCGTAAAAATCACCATGGGGCCCTCCGATCGAGCCTACAGTTTTGCATCGACTGTAGGAAGCTGAACGCCGTAACTAAGATGGATGGATTCCCATTACCCCACATCAACGTTTCAAAGTGGTTCTCCACCCTAGACTTGAAATCGGGACATTGGTAGGTGAGGCGGCTAAAATGGATAAAGAGAAGACAGCTTTTTATTGCCAAACGAGTTTTGTTTATTTCAAACGATGCTCTTTCGACTCTTAGGCTGCGCCCACCTTCCAACACCTGATGTAAACAGCATTAACTAGTTTATTAGCAAAACACTGTATAACCTATCTGGATGGTAATTCCGTTTTTGATAGAGATATTCGAGAGCATAACGCCAGCTTGAAACTAGTGTAAGACCGTCCGCGAGACACAGGGCTGACCCTGAACCCAAAGAAATGCCTTTTCTGCAACGCTCGGTCATCATCCTAAGGCATACAGTGCCGTCAGATGGGATGGCACTCACCGAAGACCGTACAAACAAATGAGGACATGGCCAATACCAACCAATTAGACGGAGATCCGAAGTTTATTAGGTTTTAAAAATTACTGTGGGCGTTTTGTCGGAGGTTTTGCTAAGTTCGCCAGTCCGATGCATAAATTAACAGAAAAGCAGGCAAAAAGGAATTTCAAGTAAGAGAAAGATCAAAATAAGACGTTTGAAGAGCTGAAGCAAATGCTCAACTGCCGTACAGGTCCTAGCATTACCTAATTTCGAATCGAGCACCCCACCGTTCGTGGTGGATACGGGTGGGAGCGACGTACCCGTGGGGTGTGTACTCTTTCAATGGGACAAAGAAGGAAGGGAACACGTCATCGCCTACGCGAGTACTAGACTTCAAAATGAGACAGAGAAGTGCTAGCACCAAGTAAACTGTTTGCTATCTACTCATGGGTTACACACTTCGGACATCACCCGATAGCGATGAAGCTCATAGTTGGGACGAATCATTAAACACCAACCTGAAAAAACAATGAACGAGATCGACCGTTTAGTTGCACACTGGTACGGAGAACTGCAGCAACACAGTTTCGCAGTTCAACGCATACATTGTTTAAGATGCATCTACTAGGTGAGAGGTGGGCAAGCAACGTGAACCTTGTGATAGAGGAGTGGTCAGAATCTCCTGAAGCAGAGAAAACTCCTGTATCCCAATTCCCCAAACCTACTCTGCTTCTTGTTGACCCTAACTAACAAGCATGTCTCATTAAATTAGTCTGGTCTTTTAAGAGCTATGAAGATCAGGGGCGAGGGAGTAGGCAAGGAACGCAATACGCCCCATTTTGAAAACACATCTTGTCGCCCACAAATCTGCCTTATGGATCGAATTGCTTGAAAATAGAGCTCAAACAGTAGAGGCTCTTTAAGCAATAGAATTTGATTTATTCTTTAAGAATAGGCTTGTTTTGTGCCAATTTTCAACCATTTACAAAAGTACTACACAAGTCCTATGTAATCCCTTCCCTACCTTGGGGTAAGATAAAACTGGTCTTAAATATCCAACTTGCACAAAGTATGTGCTCTCCGCCTATAATTCGCCTTAATAGTTATTTAATGCTTATGTTATGGAAATGAGGTGTTACACCGTATTAATCATAGGATCCACTAAATTTTTAACTGTATCATTTGGATTCACGAGA